GTTTTGTTTTGTTTTGTTTTGTGTGTTGTTTGTAAAGCTGCCATCTGACCAAGGTCTCTGTGCTGAAGTTGCCAGGGACAGGTGGGGGTGGGGGGTGGGCAGGGACTCCTGGGGTGATTTATTTTGTTAACTAAGCATCGTGTGGTTTTGCCATTGTTTTGTATATTTTTTTTCTTTTTTTTGCTAACTTATTTGGATTTCTTTTTTAAAAAATGAATAAAGACTGGGTGCTAGAAGAGTGTCTGTGATGATATAGAGGGAGGAGATGACTAATGCTATAGCCTCTCCCACCTCAGTGGTCCAGACACGTGGCAGGGCCAGGGCTTGTGGAGCAGATGGGGCTCCAAAAGCGTCAGAGGCACCATGTTGCTGGTGGTCACTAGGCGCTGGGATCCCTGCTCTTTTTACCATTACAAAGGAAGCCAGGTCTGGTCCATTGGCTGGGCGAAGACAAGGTTCTACAGAAATCCTTGTGGGACGTGCAGGAAATTCCGTTGAGCATTCTGTTGCACTCTAATTCATAGACACTGTTCACAGTCTACTACACTCCATCTTATATCCCAATAGGTCCATTCCCTTCCAATTAACTGAGCATGCTCATATGCCTAGCACTCAGACCACAGCCAGCAGACAGGGGTGTAGAGCTGGAATTTGTGGGTTTCCCCTCTCTAATCCCTGCCTCTCCTCTGGTGCCACATTAGCAGGAGTCCTGCGAGGAAGTGGGAGTTAATTCAATCAGGGTGATTAGGGTCAGACACTATCACTTTCTTCCAGGCCAACTAGCATGTCCCCTCACCACACCCTTCCATTCCTCCAGGCTGCAAGAGATTCTGGTCCCTGTCTACAGCTCAGAGAATGAAGGCAATTCTGCTGTGGGTAGGGGAAGGGGCTTACAAAGGAAACAAAGCTGGGGCTCTCTTCATGTGGGATGCTATCTTCCAAAGACTGGCTTCCTGAGGGGGAGAAGGTGGGTGAAGAATTGGGGAGAAAGAATTTGGATAGAGATCGCATAATATTAACTGAGAAGGCATCAGGAGCTAGAATTTGAATGGACTAAAACCTTTATTAATTCCAACTGCTTCACGCTAAGTGTGTCTGATTTATTGCAACTTACAAGTTTCAGAATCATTACAGAAGTCAGGGGATTCAGAGTGTGCTACATTCCATCCTGCATTCAATTCCTCAGGGCCCTTTATAAAACACTTAACCCGGTTTTATCAACCAGGCCCTCATACCCATTCTGCACTTGCTCTGCACTTGCTCAGCTGGGCCGTCTCTACCACACCTGTCCTCTTGATTTGTTCCTGGAGAGGGGAGTCAACACACTGCTCCCAGAGGTTTCTCCAGAAACTCCATTTAAGCAAAAGGTGAAGTAGGCTCACAGAACTCAGGTGAGGGTGCAGAAGGGAGGGTCCCCCCCGGGGCATGCTCATCCCAAACCACCAGTCAGGGCTGGGCCTGTTGGGAATCATAAACTGGCCTAATCTGTCCCCGTCTGTGGGATTTTCTTCTTGGGTTTATGTCATTGTGTTTACAGCTGTGGACAGGGAATGTTGCCTGCCATCAGACTATCATCCACTGTAGTGGCAAAGGTACTCCCTGAGGGGAACGCAGGATGGAGGAAACACAGGAGGCATTATGCGCTTCGGATACTGGCCCTAGACTGTTAAGATGCACACCTAAGGAATAATTTCAGTGAGCCTGGACTCTTGCATCTTCCCACACATAGAAGAGCACTAAAATCATTAATTTGATATGCCTGTTTTTTGTGATTAGCAGTAATCTTTGACATCTGACTACATTTTTTTTTCAGCAAAAACTCCCATATATCCTGGCTCCTCCCTTAACTCTTCAGAACGGTTCCTCAGAGCTATCTGAGAGGCTGTCTCCTGGGCTATAGTCCTCAGTAAGTTCCCTGAGTAAAACATATCTTGCAACTTTTAGGTTGTGCATTTTTCTTCAGTTGGCACAGTTTTACCTTCTTGGAAAGGCTGGAGAGGAATACCTAGGTCACTGCCACAACTCTTAGCTCTCCCTGGCTCCCTGCCCTTGGAGATGAGGAGAGTAACATGTGTGGGTGCAACACCTTGGCTCTCCAATCTATACTCACTCCCTTATTATGCACCAATAATAATGAACTACCCATTCAAGGGGGATCTTCTCCCCTTGGGTTCATTTCCTCTGCCCCTGGTACCTCCCAAGCTCCTAGGGTAGATACAAGCCTGCTGCCTTCAGTTGCCCTCCTTCTTACTGTGGGCCCGGTCTGGCCAAGAGAAAGGCACTCATCTCTCCTAAGGAACTGATAGGCTCTCGGGTTGCTGGATATATTTTTTAAGTTTATTCCTCTTCAGTTATCATGTCAATTGGAATCCGAGGTTCATATTCATAATCTGTTATGAATGAACAGTTCTAAGCAATGGCTATTAAGGTCGATTGTTCCTGACCATTGTCAGGTGTAGTCATTGTCTGCTTATTTCTTTTTCAGTCTTTAAGTCCTTAAGCCTCCCACCAGGAAGAAACAATTTGCTGGAACTTCACACGTGTGAATGGCAAACTTTGCCAAACTGGAGCCCAGCCTCACTTATTATTTTCACAGAAGAAACATTTGTCATCAAAGCACAGGGACTTTCTTAAATTAACAAATGCTTGACCTGCACAACTGAATTACAGATAAGACTCCAATTAACGAGTAATGAGTGATAGTTCTTTGGGGAAATTAGCTTATGTCTGGTCTCCCGTGGAAGCACATGCAATAAATCAAAGTTAAACAAATGTTGCCTAATAAGGGACTTTAGGGAATCTGCCAGAATAAAAAGATAAGATTTGAAATTGACATACCAATTGTCAGTGTGTAGAGAGGAACTTCTTGGAGTGTTTAGACAGTGTGAATTGCAGAATGCTTAAAGTACTATTTGCTGCACTCCAATAAACATCCTTCGGTATCTAACTTCTCAAAGTAACCTACTTGGCAGACTGAAAAGCCTTTCTAAGTGCTGCAGGTATAGTAGTAGGAGGTTGGACCAACTGGAGAGGGAGGTAAAGGGGGTAAAATGGAGGGTGAGCGAAGAGGAGCCCCCTCAGCTCAGGTATCTGTTTCTTGGACAAGACCCACCATGTCACGTCCCCTGGACTTGTCTGAATTCCTGGTTTCTGGGCTCCAGGCTAGGGCAGAGATGCCTGGAGGTGAGCTAAAGCTCAGGAAGAACTGAAGGCTGTGAATTGGGCTAGGATCTTGGCTAAGGAGGCACCACCTAGGCCCAAATGGGATCCTCAAACCCCACAGCGATTCTAGCTGTCCCTCACTGCTCAGCCACAGGAAACCACCTGATCCAGATTCTCTGCCTCTCACTCTGCTGGGACCATTCCTAAGGAAGGCAAAGGAAAGTGTTCTAGGAAAGAAACCTAGAGTCTTCTTTCTTTTTTACAAATGCTGACAGAAACATGATGTTGGGGTCTCATCTCAAATGCAGCATGTCCAATATCAAGCTCACATTTTCACATGAGCCTGTTCCCTCTACATTCCCCAGCCCAGTAGATGGCAACTCTGGGAAACTGTAGTTTTCCTGGATTCCTTCAGATCTCACTCCTGTAGCCAGCTGGTCACCAAGGCTGGTCAACTCTACCTTTGATCATTGAGAGGGTGGGAGGGGACCCCCAGAGGCTTGTAGGCACTAGGCCAGCATCTTCCCTTGCCTGTTTGGCCTCCCTGAGTCACAAGTTGCCTTGTCTTACTCCCATCCTGCCATCTGTGCCCATGGACTCTGCCATCCTGTATCATCAGTGGGTCAGTTAGCCTTGGAGAGGATACAAGGCTGGATGGTGGATTATGCTGCCCTCAGGGAGTTCACCATTCAGATGAACAGAAGAAACAAGGCTCCATGAAAATCACAGGAGCCAAGTACCGCACGAGTGGTACAGATGTAAGAGTTTGAGAAAGGGAGCTGCGAGAGGCTTAACTTCAGCGTAAGGTCTTGGGCTCACTTAAAAGAGAAGCAAGTAATATCTGTTAAGCACCCCTGGTACTGGGCCAGAAGTTTTAAGAAACATCTGCACATCTATCTAACCAGCTGCATGGTCTCAGCTTTAGAATTTCCTGTTCTGCAAAATGGCGATGACGATACATCACAGGGTTGGGAGGATTTCACGGGCCAATACATTTAGCATGCTTAGAACAGTGCCTGGCACACAATAGTTCTCAATACTTTTTAGCTTTATTTAATAATAATCCTTATAAAAACCCTCTGAGATAAGGTTGGTTCATTTATTCATTCAAGTATATACCTAACCCTAAAGGAGCTTCCCCACAGCCCAGTGGGAAACAGACAAAGAGAGGACAATGGCTGGGCAGCGTCACGGTGTGCACAGACTGCCAGGGGCGCAAAAGGTTGCTGGTTATCTAATTCTTCTGAGGAGAGGCAGGCAATGCCTCCCAGGTGATGCTTGAAGTGGGTCTGGAAGGTTCACAGCTGCAAAGGCAAGGGAAGAAGTATTCTGTGCTGCCTTCTGGTGATGGGCCCGCGTAGACGCAACACTTCTGAGTCAGGTGGACTCGAGACTGTTGGGAGGAGAGGCCACTGGAAGAAGTCATGATGGCCTCTTGTCCTACACCGAGGAGTTGGACCTCAGTGCTGGGGAGCTGCTACAAAAGCGAGCAGCAGCGTGATATGACTAACGGGTGTTTAGCTTCAGTAACTCTTGCATCAGTAGGAAAGTCTATGAGGATAGTGAAGCAGGTGTGTTCAGAGGAAGAAAAAGAAATCAATCAATCCCAGCAGTCAGGACTCCTCACTCCTTTTCCTATACTCCCTTGGCACAAGTAGCTCAAACAGTAATCTATCAACCCATGGTTATGTAAGTAAACAGAAGGTTACTGACTACAAGTTTAAAAAACTCTGATATTTACTTTCCAGATTACAGCAGCCCTTAGGACTGTGGAATAAGCTAGATGTATCAGGTAAGCTCAAAGTTAAAAAAAAAAAAGAAAAGACCAAAGCCATATGTATGTTGTCTCAAAACCAGGTTATTTATTGGTATGTACACACTCACACACACACACACTCACACTCATACACACCCATACACCCATTCCTGATGCACTGTGTCGGCAGTACGGTACTGAGAAGGGACCTGAAAAGATACAGGAAGCTGGTGAGGGGGTATGGGTCACAAGTGACTCCCCAAATAAAAAGTATATTGACTGTGAGGCAAGGGATACACCAAGACAAGAGCCTTCCATCACTGTGTGCATCACCTCCCTGCAATAATCCCAAGATGCCCCGAACAGACCTGGGTCCTGCCAACTGCTGCCTTATGACATGACTAGTTAAGATAGGGTTGAGTTGCAGAGGAGAGGCTGGGGCTGAATTTCCCACTATGCTAGCCTATCAGAGTTCCCTGAAGGAGTCAGATGGCCTTGTGGTCTCCAACTTCACCAATCTTAGGAATCTGGGGTTTCTCCATAACCTTAACATCCATTACCCAGGGATAGGAGCTCTTTCTCTCCATCCAACTTATTTTCTGCTCAAGAACTCCTCCAGCTCCATTCCCAGTGGCCTGACAGACAGGAAGGGCAGGGAACAATGAGGGAGAGCAAGGGAAGTTGGATGCCTTGCCCATACCCATGGGAGCCCACCCAGCCCCACCACTGGTGGACCTCTCCTCTACTGAAAAGCAGCAGAAACCTGTAAGCCTGGTACTGCCCCAGGCTCCAGCACTCCTTCTGGACAGGGTGCTCTGACCCATCATCCCACCTGCTAGCCTAGCCACCACTCAGAATCCAAGTCATCAGCTTGCAAACCAGCTGCTCAGCCACCTGCAGGGTGGCACTTCACTGGCTCCTCTCCAGGAAACATGCTTCAGGCACTTTTCCTCTCCTTCCACTTGGATGAAACCTTAGGTTCCATCAGCTCACCCTGAACTTGGGTCCCAAACACTTCCAGGCACCTTTGCAGGACGAGTACATGGGTTAAGAAGAGGGATTTCTTGGAAATAACATTCCTACCAAAGCGGGACCTGTATCCCTCAGCCCTGGATGCTGCCGTGCTACTGGGGAAAGCAACTGAAACTGGGCAGGTCTCAGGAATTTCTGGACGAAGCAGTCCCTGCACACCAAAAGAGCCCTGAACAAGGGGGTAGTGGTGTGGGGACAAGCAAGAGAATGACACTCTTCACCAACACTGGATTTCCTGGACCTAGGACATGATTCACTACAGGAGAATCTTTATTTTCCTCCTAGGAGATCAGAGGAAGGAAGCCTCAGATTACCTTTTTCCCAAACCAGACTTTAAGGTCAATGGCCTTAAATCCACCCATTAGGTATATTCTTATGGGGCTGGAATTATCAAAGAAGTGGGGCAGAGGGGGACAGAAAGGGAAGGAATACTGGGAGCATAGCTGGCAGTGCAAGGTTAGCTTGATCCACAGCCAAGATCCACACAGTTCCCTCTCCCCCCAGCCCAGCAGCAGCTCTACCCTACAGCTGGGGCAGGAGGCATTCCCGCTGCCATCTGGGCTTAAGGTTACCACAGGCCATTGGCTCTCCCTCTAGCTGACCTGCCTGCACCTCTCACTGGGCAGGAGGGCTGAGTTTCCCCATCCTTATGCTTGGTGTTTGGGATTCAACTTAAACCAGGGCCTAGAATCTCCACCTTAGCCTTCCCCCTTCCCAGGTTCATCATCCTGAGGAAGAACAGGGCCTTCTACAGCCCTTCCCAGCCCCCAAGGAGGTCCTGGAGGTGAGGCAGGAGCTGCAGCTATGCAGATGAGTTGAGGGAGGGATAATGGTGAAGGTGCCAAGAGCAGATGTAGACCATCTAGTACAACCAAGAGGTGGACAGAAACCAGAAAGCCAAATAACCCAAGCGAGGCAGTCTGAAGTGCCATTTTCTTGGAAGGGCCATCCCCAGCCCTTGATGCTGTGTCCTGGTCTCTGGTGGAGTTTGCAGTCCAGACCAGCTAGATGCAGAAGAGGGAAGGTGGAGTCCATCCATCTTGGGCTGCCTTCCTCTCCCTCCCGCAGACCCACAAGCATGGACAACCTGGTTGCCTCCACAACACCAGGAAACCCAGCCACATCCCAGAGAGCCTTACAAGGGACACACGTTGGACTTGGGGTAGAGGGATGGCTAGGGGGTAGACAGTATATTCTGAGATAGGAGACTAGGAGCTGTGGGAGTAAGGGGACCGAGCAGGAGGGTTAAGGGCTCTCTGAGCCTGTGAAACCAAGCAGGAGGAAGCTGGCCTTGGGGGCCGTAGCTAGTCCCGGAAGGCGGAGAGCATGTGTCCGTAGAGATAGTGAGAGTGTGCTAAAAGAGAGAGAAAGAGACAGGCGTTGCGCGGTGAGCTGGCAGTGAGTCCCTGAGAGACGGGTTGCAGGGTATCTGCGGCGTGCTCGCAAGCTCCAAGCGCCCAAGGCCAAAGACAGCAGAAAGGGTAAGCCGGGCACTGGGCGCGAGCAGGGTGGGAGCGGTACTGCCGGCCGGAGGCCAGGAACAGGTGCGGGGAGGCCTTTGTGCGGGCGGAGGGCTGGCCGAAGAGCGCCCGTGCCCAGGGCCTGGCCCACTTACCCCGAGCCTCGGGCATAGCCCCGTCAGACCCGGGGCGGGAGGCGGGGTCAGCAGAAGTAGGTCCGAACCGTGGAGGTCTCCAGTCTCTGCGCCCCCGCCGTCCCGGCTGGGAGGAGTCGGCAGCCGCGGGAGAACACAGAGCGGCGGGTTAGTGCGCGCACAGCTCGCCCGTGGGGCCTTCCCGGCCGCGCCTGCCCGCGGCGGCCGTTAGTTAGTGCAGCGCCGGCGCCGGAGGTGTGCACCCGCCTCGGCCTCTCCTGAGCGCCAGCGCCCGTCCCACTCCGCCGCCCGGGCCCCTAGGTCCTGCTGGGCCGCGGCCATGCCCAGCCAGCCTGCCACTCACCTTCAGGCATGATCCTCTTTGGCGGGGCCGGTGGAGGCTGCAATGGCCCCAGGGTGGACACGCGGAAGCCTACCGGGAGCGTTTCGGCAGAGGCGCTGAGCATGGCGCTGCCATGGTGGTCCCGCGGCCGGAAGCGTTTCCTCCAGGAGGGTGCGCGGCGGAACACCTTGTCCTCCCCCTGCACCGTGGGGACACGCAAAGGACCAGGGCTACCTTGGAACTGCCACGCTCACTGCCTGCCTGGGGCAGGACAGTCAATGGCTGGTTCTAGGGGTACCTGTCCCTTCGGAAAGAAGGAAGCAAGGTCACGTCCGCTTTTAGGCCCTCAGCTTTTCCTTGTGTAAAGTGAATGGGGCAAGTGGATGACTCCGGGGAGCCCTTGCGACTCTGAAGTTCCCTGTCTCTTGGCTCGCGGGGTGGGGTCCCCCTGTTCGGATGTGGCATCCTGCAGTTGAACTCTGTTTCTCTGCCCACCCCAATCATCTCAAACTGGGCTTGGGGTGCCCATTGACCTTTAAAGTATTCCTCCTCTCAGGCTCATCCATGGGAAGTAGTCACCAGCCAGCCTCCATTCACTCCTCCCTGCCTTTCTGGGGCCTCAGTATGGCTGCAGCACCGGTGTGCTGAAAGAGAGCTGGGTCAGGAGTCAGGAGACCTGGCTTCCATTTTATCAATACTAGCTATGTGACCCCGAGCAAGTAACCTCTCTGAGCTTCAGTTTCCTTATCTGTAAATGTAAAATAGGAATAACAGCATCTGCCCTACCTATTTCTCAGGCTGCCTATCCCTGAGGGGATCAGGGGAGAACATTGACCCATTGATAGTGATGGGTCAGGCAGATGGCCAATCAGAGGCAGTTTCCTCCAAAGGCTCCTGCTGTCTGCCCTCTCACCCGTGCCAGCCAAGTCTCCAAAATAACTATCTCTGCCAGAGGGCACCCAGAGCCATAACTCTACAGGATGTCCCTCTGCACAAGCACCCACCCCACCCTTCAGAGCCCACATCCATCCTGCTTGGCAGCCATGCCTAATCCCCCTCAACGCTTATGTTCTTGGAACTGGTGCAGGTAGACTGCTAGCAGCAGGAATAAGAGACACTAACCCACCAGTTCTCACCTAAACAACCTCTCCCAACCCCCATTAGGGTTTGTTGTTTGTGCCCTGAGTAGGCCAAGTGCCCCCATCAGTTCTTAGCACCATGTATCTCTGTCATAGCATTCATCATAGCATTTTTAAATGTACTTATGAGATTATTTCATCAATTCCTTTCTCTCCCTCTCTTCCTCCCCCCACCCCACCCCTTTCAAATTCTATGCTTCATGGGACAGAGATTATGATCTTTTTTGTTCCAACCAATATATCCACAGACCTGAGTAGTGCCTGGGAACACCATAGGCACTGGATAAATATTTGCTAAATGGCAGCTGGCTCCCTAGGCAGGCATCCCATCCCTGAGTTTATCAGGAACTTTCCTCATCATTTCTGTCTTCGCCATGATCCTATCTTTAACCTAATCTAGAGACCCTTCTCTTCTGCATGCTCTCTCTCCCTCCATTTCTATCTTCAGCCAACCCTAAGGACTAGTTTCTGTTTTTCTCCCCTGTCCCCTAATAGTCAGATGTTCTTTGTGTTCCTCATCTCCTCATTTCCCTTGAGTCCTGACATCCATGCATGGGAGAACTGGATATAGCCCTCCAGGGCCTTGAAGCTTGAGAGGGGAAACTGAGAACCAGAATTGTCAAAGGAAAGAGTTGAAAGAGACAGCTCAAGGTTGCTGATGGTGTGCTGGATGGCTGGACAGGAGGCAGTCTCTTGGATCTCCACCCTCCCACCTGCCACTCCCCCCACCCCCAAATCTCACCTTATTCCTAGGACCTGGCCTTCTACTTAAGCTTCCTTTTAAAGAATCAGTTCTCTCCAGCCCCACACCTAGCTGCATCCCAGAAAGCCCACTACATTGCCAAGATGATGTCACCTACTCAGTAACCACCCCAATGCCTGAAGCCTGATAGGACAGCTGTCTCCACTTTTAGGAGGCAGCAGGAGGTAGGAAAAAGAACACAGGAATCAGATACACTTTTGCTCCCGTCTGGCTCTGCCACATGTCAGCCTGTGACTGCAGGTAAGTTACCTCTTTGAGCTTCGATTCCTCATCTGTAAGATGGCATCATAACCTGTCTCACATGGTGACTGTTAGCATAAAATGTCTGTCATCACTGCACCACCATGCCTTGCCCAATGCCTGGCCCAGAGTAGGCATTCAGAGAATATTTTTGTTAGGATTGAAGGAGTAAAGAGTTTTCTAAGTTAGAAAGCACCATTCAAAGATATATGGGAAAGCTGTATCAAAGAAAGCTTAGAACCTAGTGGGTGGGGAATAAGTAGGAGGGTCCACCTTGCAGGGGGCACTGGGAAGATTCAGATCAGAGTGGGGACATCTGGTGGGGTCTGGCAGTTTCTCTCCTTGAGTGGAATACACACACATACACATGTAATATGTATGTAATATATGTGTGTGTGTAAATAACACACTCCAAATTTCAAGGCACCTCTGTGAAGAAAACACCCCTCCACAAATTCTGTATGTTTCTGAGTGTGTCCTATCTACCGAGGTGCAGTAGTCATTCCACAAAGGTGGGGTTTAGCCCTGTTAAACCCAACTAAGAAGAGACTAACTGATAAGCAGATAACACTAATGGTGTCCCACAAGGAGGCCCAGAAGTCTAAACAGAGGCATTGGTAGAGGTAGGGGTGCTGCAGAGAAAATGGGGATCAGAAACAGTTCTGATTGATGATGGAGAAGCTAAAAATAAACAGTCTGGGCTCTTTTTTAACTTGTTTGGAACCAAGGCAGCTAAGGCAGACCTGACAGCGAAGGCAGGCAAGGTTAATGGTAAGAAAGGGAGGAGGGAGGAGGGAGGGGAGAGGAGGCAAGGGCTGGGGAGGGGGCTGTGCCCTCAGGAAACACGTATGTTTTAGGAGGAGCATTATGCTAGGAGCATCAATCTAGCATCCTAATGCTAGATTAGGAGCATCTCTAACAGGAGCATTATGGCTAGAACTTCGGAGTCTTCCAAGACATAGTCCAACCTGAACTCAAGGAGAAGGCCTGATGAAACTCAGTTGGAAGGGACTGTTTCTTCAGTGACCTGAGGCATAAGAGTAATACTAAGAAAGGAAGCTGGGAATGATAGAAGCCTGAGCCATGTGTTTAGCTGTGTCAAACTGCACTGAGGAACATGTGAGCAAACCTGTCATTTAATGACCTCAGAATAATGTCTACCTCCAAACAACCACACTATTGGATGGGTGGGAAACGTAGCAGGCTGGAGATATGCTGTGCTCACAGCACTGAAGAGAGGGGCTCTAAAAGATAAAGAAAAAGGTATGATCCCAAAGAGATGACCTTTGGGGAAAACCTCTGATCCTGTGTGGTTAGGAGGTTTAGGGCACAGAGTTGGAAGAGGCTAGAGGTACCCAGAAGGAGTTTCATAGAGACTTCTCCAGGCCTATTGCTAGGCCTGTCCCTGCCTCCCCAACCCCCTGATATCATGCCCATCCTCTATGACTCTCCTCCCTTAGGCCACCCCACCAGTCATTAGACCGAGGAAAGCAGAACTCATGAACTCCAACAAACCAACAGTGACCAGTTCACAGCCAGGTACTCACATCATCCAGTTTCCGGTCTGTGCCTAAGGCCAACAGGTTGTTGAACTCTCTCTCCATCACCTGGCGTGCCTGGAGTCCACAGGGTGAAAGGGGGAGAGAAGGGAGGGGCTATAGTTAGTGACCTCTAATGCCATCTTTCACCTGTTTCCTAGGGGGTCCAAGGGCAGAGATGGGGTTTTCAGTGCATTTAACCCATTAGCCCTTGATGCCGCTCCTTTGAGCTAACCTCGGTGTCCTCTGAGAAGTCAAAATGTTAACCTTACAATTTTTTTCATATGGAGCAAATTAGAAAACTATAATTTTTTTAAAAAGTAGGATCATAGAACACGTGGATGGACAGACTTCACCTACTGGGGAAACCCCCCCCCCCAGTTTGTCTCTGTAAGGGAATGTCATGCCATACTATCTTTCTGGAGGGGTAAATAAGCATGTAGACCATGGATAATGAAGATTTAACTTATTTAGATTATATAAATGTATTTTATAAAGTTCCACATCAAAAATTAAACTTAGGAAAACTGCTCAGTCATGGATATTGGTGGCCCTTGGGCTGAGTGGGGCATAAAGGCCTTCTCTATAGGCCTCCCAGCAATTTCTTGCTAGGAGATTTGAGAAATGCCAGAAACAAGAAAATTTTCAAAATTACCACCAGATATTCTGAACCATTTTTAATGAAGGATTCCATATTGGGTCAGATCCTACTTCCCCTAATAGCTAAGCTAAATGAATGGGTCAGAATAATAAGAACGGTTAGAGAGCAACAGAGAGTAGCCCTGCTACTCTTTACAGATGTACTGCTGTCCACAAAAACTGGATGTATTTAGAGATAGGAAATGAGAGAAAAACAAGCCCATTTCCGGGTAGATAATATTAACCATAGAATTCTGTGGGGACAGTCTTTGTTGGTATTGGGAACATAATATTTTTTTAAGTGATCAGAAAGGAGAAGCATAGTTAATTTTCAAGTATCCAGGTGACACTGTTCCTCTGGGTAATGAAAGGTGACTATGACATTTACAAACTTCAGAAACATTTCACAAAGTTGTATGAGTGGGCAAGAAAGCAGCTGATGGGGTTGGTAATGGGCAAGCCTAGAAAAATTGCATTGGGATTTCCCTGGTGGCGCAGTGGTTAAGAATCTGCCTGCCAACGCAGGGGACATGGGTTCAATCCCTGGTCCGGGAAGATCTCACATGCCGTGGAGCAACTAAGCCCATGTGCCACAACTACTGAGCCTGCACTCTAGAGCCCACGAGCCACAACTACTGAGCCCACGTGCCATGCAGCCATAAAGAAATAAATAAATAAAATTAAAAATGACTCCTTGATTAAAATAAGAAAAATTGCAGCTTGGGGGAAATCTCAGCTCTTCCTAGAGAGCGAGGGGAATCTGTGCTATCCATTCTGACTGGTTGGGATGGGTCATTGCAGAGAGACTGTAGGATGCCCTGGCCCTGTGTGCTGCCATCACCCCTAAAAGGCCAACACTCCGCCCAAAATTACAAGACAACTCAGCCCTATCCTCACACAAGCGAAAACTCGTCTGCTCCCAGAATAGCTTGTGCAGCTCTGGTGGCTGAATTTCAAGAGATCTGACAGCTGCAAACAGTCCAGACAAGGGCAGCTAAACTGATCAGGGCATGGAGACAAGTCTATATGAGGAAAGGCTAAAAGAATTAAGACCACTCTGTCTGAAGAAACAAAAGCTTGGACCCAGAGGCAACACAATCAGAGTTTATGAAATCACAGAAGGTGAGAGCTAGTCAAATACAAATACCCGTACTAAATCGTAGACAATTAGGATGAGGCAATTCTCTTCCCCGGGGGAGCTGACTGTGGGTACATTTAGGACAAATAAAATTAGGTAGTACTTTACACAACAGGTAGTAATTCTAGAGTCCATTACCCACAGGAAGTTAAAAAAGCCAAACATATAAATAGGTTCAAGAGAATTTAGGTATATTCTTAGATGACAGCTCCATAATAATTATCAAATGTAATGGAAGGAGATGTCTAATCTTTTGAGCTGTTGACAGGGAGACAAAGCCCTGGCATGGAGAAGCTCTGGGCTGTGTTATTTGGTATATTTAACTTTCTAAAACCTAGGGACCCAGGAACAGATCCCCGGGGTGGGGGTGGGGGGGAAACAAAGGGGATATGGGTTCTCTGGTCCTTGTGGGCCCCAGCGCTAGTTTTCTTCTATGAATAGTCAGGTCAGAGAAGCAAGTAGAGGAAAAGTCCCAGCTGTAAAGATGGGGCTGGGAGGAGATGGGGGTGCTCACTGCAGTGTGGGGATTAACACAGTATTCCAGGCCTGTGCTGAACGTGCTCTGTATGTAAAGGGTACTTGTTTCCTAGGGGCGCTTGGTTATGCACAGGGACCACTTGGAGGTTTGAGGCCATTTGTGATCCCCTCTAGAACAGGCCTCCAGAAAGCCCTCCCACCAATCCATAAACTTGCGCATATCAGAGGGAAAGAGAGCAAGAGAGTGGAGGAAAGGGAGAGACCAAGATTGAGACTGATGACCAAGATCAGACTGATTGAGACTTACAGCCTACCTGGGTATTCTGCGTGGGTATCTGGAGGACCAGGGCCAATGTGTTGTGGTCGAAGTTCTCGTCCAGGGCCAGCAGAGCACCATGCACACCACTCTCATGCAGGTTTCCTGCATAGTCCCGGAGCCCAATAGACTGGACCCAATGAACCACCTGGTCGTTGGTCCAGACCAGCACATCTGGAGGGCAGGGGAAGAAAAGGAGCAGGAAGAGACAGGTTTGGCCAAGGCCCCCTCCAGGGACAGAAATAGAGGTTCCTAGACCCAGAGCCCCAGTCCACCCTGTTCTCTTGGCTCCTAGCCACCCCTACCCCCCTCAACTTTCCACATCTTCTTTCTGTCCTCCCTGGCACCTGGGCTCTTGGAGAACCAGCCCCACACCACTCCATTCTTGCCAGCCTGCAAGACTCAGGGTCAGGCTAATAGGCTTTCTCCCCAGAGCCCCTGTACCAGTCATCCACTGCCCCCAGGCGGGAATGGCCCTCTTCTTATTCTTTCTACCTTCAAGGTCTCTTCTAAGACTTGCCTTTCTTTCCTGTCCAGCCCCACCCAGATCACCAAGTTCCGCGAGCACTTTCTCACACCAGTCTATGGCACCCTCCCAAGGGGGCCATTGCATCTGCCTCGTTGGTGGCCACTGTCTAATGTGCTGGGGAGGGGGGTTGCCGCTGATTGGGCGGGGGCTAGGTTTCCTCCACCAGATGGCAGCATCCTTTGGGCATGGATTGCGTCTCCCTCATCAGACTGGGAGCTCCCTGCTCCCTAAGGGCTGTGTCTTCCCTCTTAGATTTGGAGTTTCCCTGTGGCACAGAATGCCTCTTCTCCCTTCACTCAGCCCAAGGCAGGGATCAGTGAGGCAGGTCCCTGCTCCCCCAAAGCCGCTCCCACCACAACTTTCAGAGGAGGCTCCATTGAGCCTGACAAGCTTACCCTTGATCTCATGCTGGCTTTCTTCCCGCCTCTTCTCCAGCTCCTTCCGGTCATAATTCAGCCTCTTCAGACACATGATGCCATACTGAAGACTGGTTCTGCAGGCACACAGCCCCCCTGAGCCAGAGCCTCAGTGGGGCCATGTTTCTACCACATCTGCCCCATATCCAGCACCAACCACAGCCCATCAAGACCTATATGCTCCAGCACAAAGAGTATCCCAGCCCACTCCTTCTCCTCCTTCCCCCAGGGCTTAGACATAGTCCATCACAAGGCTACTTCCCTCTCTCTGCCTACCCCAAGCCCTCCCTCTCAGCCAGGGTGTGGGCCTGATTGACAAAGGAAAGTTCTTTGAATGATAGCAACATATCCCTCCCTCTCCAGGCACTGGAATGACAAAGAACCCTACAGATATTCTTTTGTGTCCCCATTTCACTCAGAGTCCTTACAATGGCCTACAATGTGATACATGATCTGCCCCTATACTGATAGCCCTGCTGTTCCTCAAACGTGGCAGGAACGCTTGGCCTATGTGCTTTGGGGCCTTTGCAGTGGCTGCTCCTTCTGCCTGGAACACACCCCCTCCCTGCCCCCCAGTCTGCTACATGGCTTACCCCCTTGTCTCCTTTAAGTTTTTGCTCAAATGTTATATTTTAAATTCAGTAGTTACCTTGTCCACCTGATTTAAGACTGCAACATCACCAGCGCCACCAATCCCCCTTACTCTGGTCTAATTTTTTTTTCTACCACCTTTTATCTATTAACATTCTATATATTTATAATTCCTTGTCTGTCTCTCCCAGTTACAATGTAAGCTCCATGAGGGCAAGGAGGTTTGTTTTGTTCACTGATGTATCTCAAACACCTAGGATGGTGCCTGACACATTCCACAAATGTAAACACCATAAATGCTAAATGAATGATGTGAAATAATTCACATAAAGTACTAAAAGTACTTTAAACTGTACCAGGTGCATAGTAAGCACTCAATAAATAATTACTAAGCCAGGCCACGAATCAAAGAATCCGTAGGTTAGAAGGGACCCCACACACTATCAGTCCAAGCTCCCCACCTAATGCAGGAGTCACCTCTGTAACATCCTTCTGAGTATTATGAACACCTGTGCCTAAATACCTCTGGTGACAGGGAGCTCACTACCTCTTGATGTAGCTCATTCCATCTCGGGCAGCTTCCCCTGTAGTGTTCTTCTTTAAACTTGAGCACTACTCTGTCATTCAGCCTCTCTGGGTTTTGTCATCTACAAAGTGGAGGAATAAAATAGGTCTCTCCCAATTCCAAATACTTTTGACTCTATCATTGAGGCCATTGCTTTGTGAGATTAAATTATGCTTGATTTCTCCCTACTTCTCTCCCCTCAGTTCTACCCAGGTAGCCCATCTGCCTAGAACAAACCCTTATAGCTCAGGGACACCACTTCTAAGGAATCCTGCTCAAGGCCATTGGTTTAAGCCTTGGTCCCCTGGAGGGGGCAGATGCACACATACCTCCAAACTGGAAATGCCTCTAATTTCAATCTCACTTACTATAATTTTCAGTTCAGTTCCTATGACTTTCAAAGCTGTTGCACAGCTTAGCAAAAATATAAAGGCCTTAAAGTCAGATCAACCTGGATCTGAATGCCAGCTGTGCCACTTCCCAGTTGAGTGGCACTCAGCATATGTGAGATGGGGGTCATAACTCTCGTGCAGAGTTACTGTGAGCATTAAAGGTGATCCTGTATGAAAGGGCTTAGGCCAGCCCCTGAACATCAGAGGCATTCAGTAATGGTAGCACGTTTGGGAGGACATTACTAATTATTGTGTGTGCTTTTTCTCCTATCAGAATAGGAGATTCTCATGGAAACCTGCTCAATAGAACGCTACAGTCTAAGGAAAAGAGCTCTGAGTTGGGTGTCAAGAAAGAAGGATGCTGGCCCCATTCTGTAACCACTTGGCTGAGTGACCTGGTGATACTCAATCTCTACTGGACTTGCTTTCCCCATCTGTGAAAGGAGAGTTTTTAAATAACCCTTTCTCATCGTTAAAAAAAGTACGATTTAAAAGAATTTTTAAAGATATAAGAACATGCTTATGAAATATTAAGTGGAAAAAAAGCAGTTATATACCTAATTGAGGTAAGAAATGTGGAAATGTTTTAGAAACTGTGAAATACCCAAGATTTAGAGCTAAATCTGGAACCGTGTATATAGGCTGAGAGTCTCTCATGGGCAAAGGGTCGGGGAAGGACTTCCATAATGCTGTATAGGGTTGGGCTGCCTGATCCTCTAGCAGCCGAGGCACATCTCAGCTTGGTGGGGAATGGCCCTTCTCTCCCCAGCCCTATCAATCACTGAGGAGGGAACAGGTGCAGCTAGGCCTGGCAGCCTCCCAGATTGACAGAAACAAAAGATTCTCTTTCAGCCCCGGTGGTGAGGGAGGGGTGGTGCTCAGGGCAGACACAGATGGGGGTTCCAGCATAGGCGGCTCTGCAATGTGGTGGCAAGAGAACTGGGTTTCAGTCAGGAGACTTGCATTTTGCTAGCATCCCTGCGTGACCTCGGGCCGCTGCTCCTTCCCATGCCTCAGTTTCCTCACCCATAAAATATGGAGGCTAACTAGATCCCTTCCAAATATAACTTTCTGTTGTTTGTGAGTTGGAGAGACCAAGGGACACTTGCAGAGCCCTAAAAGAACCTTGAAAAGCCACACACTCCCAGCTCCACCCTTTGTCACATTAACTACTCAAGATAAAAGACCTGGCTCAAATAGCAGCCTGTGTGATTTGAAGTTGGATGTTAAAAAGGACTTCCTAAAGCCTATGAACTCCTGGAACCATTACCAAAAACCTATGTCTTAGGAGGGCTGCCTCCCTAGCTCCAGCTGGTTGTTTCCATGCTGGGATGTGCCCATAGAGCTTTCTCTTTTTCAAGAGAAGCCAGACATCCAGAATTTTGTTTAACATTTCCTAGTGTTTAAATATTGGCAGCTAAGGTCACAGTTTTAAAAATACAATGTAGGCCAAACAAATTACATGTGTGAGCCAAATTCTGCCCTCAGGCTACCAGTTTGTGACCTCCACTGCAGATACCTTTGCACAGAGGACCTTTTCAACAAAGAGGAGAACACTGGATGACTTCCTGTACAAAAGGATGTGTGTTTAAAACTGAGAGGCTCAGATCTGGGATGTTGGCAGGGCAAGCATCCAGAAAGAACTTTCCTCTCATCTTGTAAGGAATTAGACACCTAAAATAGATGCTGGGTTCAGTGTGAGTCTTCTCAGGGTAAATGTAGAGAATTCAGCAAGCTCAATGACAAGAAATAAAATTCATATCTAGGGGGAAAATTCATATCTAGGGGGAAAACCTCTATTCCTGGAGACAGACCCCCAGAGTTGGGGGAGACCTGTGTAGGGAGGTGGCCCCGGGTTCCAGCCTGGCTCACCGGTGGAAGCTGTCCACCATCTTCAGGTGGACCCGCAGGTCCTTCTTGGTGAGGTGATCCAGCATGCGAGCGTCCACAAGGCACTCCATGAAGTAGCTGCGGTACTGGGGGAGCCCCAGGCTGGGCAGCCACTGGTTCCCAATCCACTCGTGGTTCATGTCCCCATAGGCCAGGGTCTGGAGAACAAGATGGAGGAGGCTGGGGGCAAAGGCAGTGCTGGCAGGTTGCAGCTAGCAGTTCAATAAAATTTCAGCTTACTTCCACTGAGGGGCTGGTAGAGGCGGGAGGTGAGGATTTTAAATGGAGCTTTTTAAGATCCTGGAATGATATATTCCCACTCACTTATCAATTATCTACACTAATGAACAGAAGCAACCACCTAGGCAGCAAGTCATAGGAAATCCTTCCCATCGACTCTGAAATGCATTGGTGGTGCTGTAAGGCAGACTCGCCTTCCTGATTTTCAGTCAGCCTCAAGCCTGCTGAGCCCAGCGGATAGGCTGCATTACGGAGGGCCTGCAGAGTGACAAAGAAAGCCAGTCTCACTTGGGAAACTGGCCTCACACGGTCCACAGGGAGTTACGTTTGGCTAAAGATATAAAAAAATGAAGTAAGGTGAACTGCGCCTGCCAGCGCTCTTCTCTAAGGCTTGGTTGTCTCTCCAGAGATTCTCTAGGTCCTTCGTGTGCCGCCTCCCCACCCCACCACACACTGTGCGCCCCACCGCCCACCCAGTCTGGTTCTGAGAGGCCTGCTCCACTTAGTCGTTGCCTCCTGCCTTGAGGGCAGGGACCTCCTTAACCATCTATCCTTAGAACGAATTTTAATGGTAACCCTCCATCACTGTCTTTCCTTACCCACCTTGATTTTTTTAGAGTTGAACATTTTATTTTGTTATCTTTTAAAATAAAACGATTGATACATATAAAACATATGTAGCGTATGTTCATTACTAAGCATAAAAACGAAGTTGACATCCTTGGACACCATCCATGTTATCCACACTGTTGCATCCATTCTTATGCTCTTTTTCCCCATCTTATGCCCTACTGCCCCCCTAGAGGTAACCACCATGCTGAGTTTTCTGTCCATGATGCCCCTGCTTGAAAAAATGTTCTTATAGTCACCAAGGTATATTTCTCTAAATAATATGTTTAAATTTGCTTGTTTTTGAGTTTTAATAGAAAATCTTTGGGGACCTACACTTTTCACTTTACACTATATGTCTGAGTCATCCATTCCCTTTGCTAAATAGTGTTTTACTGTGAGAACATACTGTAACTGATCTGTCCAGTCTCCTGTTGATGGGGTTGCCCAACAAGTATAAACAGTGCTACGTGCTTCATTTTTATTCATGGCACTTACATCTATCTGATATATTATCCATTTATTTGTTTGTTTACTGTCTGTTTCTCCCCTAGAATATAAGCCCCATGAGGGCTAAGTTTGCTCACTTCTGTATCCAGAGGGCATAGAAAGGCCTAACACCTAGTAGCTGCTCAATAAATCCTTGCTCACCAAGTGAATGAATGAAAGCCCTTTGCTCAGCTCACCAGGGGTACCCCTGAGAGGGACAGGAAGAGGAAGAGGATTCATACTAATCTAAGTCTCATTACTCCTGGGAAGAGGGTCGAACTGAGGGGAAGAGGCAGGCATGCTGGGGGCACAGCCCTCCAAGGCCCCTCACCTGCCATGGTGAAAAACTAGAAGTAGCTAAAGGGGAATGAGGAAGGATGGAGGTGGGTGGCTTCAGCAGAGGAGAGAACCTGTGCCCAGGACTCTTTGTGTGAAGAGGGACCTAAAAGACTGGGGCTCAGAGAGTCCTGCAGGGGAACGAACCTGCTGTGAGAACACTACCCCAAGCTGCTGCGAGTTGGTTCTGGACAAGAGGAGGGGGTCTTACCTGAGCCCAGCTGCCCTCCTCACTGTCCTAGGAATGAGTGCAGCATGTCACGGGAAACAGGCAAAGTCAAGAAACCTGGCAGCCTCCACCCAAGGTCCCATCAAGAAGGAGGAGCAGACACCCCAGTAGCTGAATGGGTGACTAGGGAAAGCTTGTTAGGAAGGTTAAGAGAGCACAGAAGGCTGGTGCACGCGCCTGTGTTTGCAGTGAGAGGGGATCAAATGTGTGTGTGGCAGAAACACAGTCAGGCGAGGTGCCAGGTCCTCCCAACCCTCCCTGTTCCTCCACCAAGGTTCAAGCACAAGGGTTACGGACTCTGTGGCTTCATGACAATAGCAGGGCAAAACGCTCCCAAGCCCTGCTCTTCTTCACTGGAGTATACCAGTAGCTCAGGGTGAACTTGTGACCCCCTGGAATAGACCACCCCCCACACACACACTGTTTCCATTCTCACTTCTTTCCCACCCACCCACCACCCCGAGAACAGAACTCCATCACACAGCAGGGATACCAATCTCGTATTAGATCAGCTACAAGCCCCTTTGACTTCCCACAACCTTTCCCTCATCCTCATGCAAGTCATCAGCCCTAACCCCAGGCCCAGGGCCCAGGGCCAGACTCACTGTTTTAGTGGATGTTGCCAGAGTTTCCATCTCTTCATGGGTGACCCAGACATTCCCAGAAGACTGTAAGCAGAGAGGAAACCTAGCTGGTCCTGCGTGTGAGCTCCTAGGCTCCCCATCAGGCTGGGAGCCCTAAGGACAAGACATAGCTCCCTTCCCCTAAGTCCTCCCACAGGCCCAGCCCAGAATTCTGCACATCGTCTAGCTCTGAGCAGCTCTCTTTTATTACCGTATCTGCTCTGCTGAGCACAATGCCTGGCACATAGAAGTACCCAACAAATGTTTCCTGAATGAATATTAATAAATAGTGTGAATCTGGAATAAGGGCTGACCCCAATCACAGAGATGGACTACAGTGAAAGGTTTTACCCTGGGGGTCCATGGAGAGGTTTACATTCTTATGGAGAGGTTGGCGGACCAGAATTTACAAATGCCCTACTCCCTCTGCTACCCCAATCTGGCAAAAACACAGAACCCAGAAGTCCTGTCTTTGGAAACTCTGCCCAAAGATCTAAAATTACCGGCAGGGTAGGTATGGGGAGATGGAGCTCATGAGTGGTACGTGGGAGGCAGGGAACTAGGCCTGCTGGGATTCTGCTAGCAACAGTGTTACCTCCTCTTGGAGACCTGATGGAACCCTTTGTGGGGATGGGAAGTAAGGGGCAGGACTCAAATGCTACCATCTTCCCAATGACCAATATGAAACTTTGTAAACACTATTTTGGGGCTTCTGAAAATGTCCTGGGTGAGGGAGAGGCCACTCACAGTCCTGGAGGTGGGCGGGGCAGAGGGGCTGGTCAGCGACACCATCTCCTGGATAGCCAGCCGGAGCTTGAGCCGGTGCAGGGCATTGCTGATGCCAATTTCCCGCTGGATCTCTGTGTCCGAGAGGGCTGACATGATGGCACCACTCTTGACGTTGGCCCGGCAGGCTGCCACATACCAAGCAGGCATCCCCACCCAGAGCTGCAGATATGGGGCACAGAGGGTAAATTCAGCCCCTTTCCCAAGATCTGGGCTCCACTGCAAAAGTCTGGCAATACTGAGAGGCAAGGGCCAGGCCTCATCCATGGCCTCAGAACAGCAAATGAAGAGCAGAGGAATTTAGAAATGTGGAGATGACCATCATCAAATGCCTCTTTTTCCCATTTTACAGATGAAAAATCTGAGGCCTGGGAAGGTGAAGGGACTTTACCAACATTGCATGGGTGATTAGCTCCTGGGGGCACCTATAGGAAGAATGAAAGTCTTAATGGGGGCACCTGTGAAAGTCTTAATGGCTCAGTGAAGATTAATTCCCCTTATCCAGACTTAGCTACTTGAGAGGCATAAGTATATAGCATCGATTCTGGCTAAGTGCTAGGTATGGCACTGTGCACTTGGCATGGGAGAAACATGCTGGGAAAATTCTAGAAATACCACCCCTTTGCCCAAGGAGTCCTTGTCCCAGTCCACACATCCTTCCCACCAGACCCCTGAGTAGACTTAGACTCCCTTTGCCCAGGTTTACCTCTAGCCAGGAGACCACAGTAGGGCCGTCCCACTGGGCAAAGGGCATTCCTTTTCTGCGGGCATCTTCAAGCAGCTGGTGTCTTGCAGGAAGAGGAACAACAGACTCACTAGTCCTTCCTTCTTTCTCAACAAAGCTTACTCCCAGGGACCATGGACTGTGCCAAGAGTTGGACTCCCACTACCCCTTCTCCCCACCGTTGGACTGCTACCCCTGCTCTATTCCTGAAGCAGTGTGACACCAAGACATGAAGCAGCAACACCTCTCCATTCCCAGAGGTGAGGGGTCTCGCTTTGTTTGCACATGGCCTGAAACACATTCTACTCTGCTCTGTCAGAGATCCCCAGATGCTGGGTCACTCTCCCACAGCACCTTGTCTCCTTCTCACTCAGGTCATCCTAAGAACAACCTCCCAAACCCTGCTGTGCCCACTTAGACCAGGCCAACTCAGTCCAGAAAGGGCCTTGCTGGGCTCTGGCTGCCTGAGCTCAGTCCCATGGCAGTCCAGGGAAAAGAGTGTATGAGGGGTTGGACCCCACCCTGGCAGAGACTGGCCGGTGGCTCTTACTTCTTCTTCAGCCGCCGGTCCTTTTCTGCCTGGGTCCCCAGCTTGGTAGGTACCATGGGCTCCTGCAGACCGAGCTCAGAGTCTATTAGCAGAACTAGAAGGGAAGAGATGGCATATCAGTGAGCCCTCTCTGCTTCTCCTCCCTTGGCCTGGGCCAGGACTGGGGAGCAGACCAGCAGGAGGCTCCTCAGCATGTGACAACCCGAGGGTCTGATGGGACAACCCATTATTCCTGGAGCCTCCACATGACATCCCTACAAACAGGCAGTCCCACAGTGGCATCGAGTGGGTCACTCCAAGCCCAGAGAGCCTTCCCCTGGGAGCCTCAGCCCTGGAGGTGTTTTTCAGCCAGACGGATGGAAGTCGTTCCACCCTAACGGCAGCAGAATCCTAGACAGAACTTGTCCCTCCTCCAAACCAAGGGGAAAAGGAAACCCAGAGAGCCAGAGTGGGCTTCGAGGCTCAGACAGAATTCTCCTGACCTGGGTTGAGGGTGGGGAAAGAGGCACGTTCAGAGATGTGTGCCTGGGCCTCTTTCTCAGGGCCACTCACTTGCACAAATCTCAAAAGGGAACATGCATAGCTCTGTCCTCTTCTGTTAAGGATCTCCTGAACTGATGCTAGAGTTCATGGCAGGGGCAGCATCTTACAATTCATTTAAGCCCTGGTCACTCCTCACAAGTGCACAGAGGACCGAGGGTGTTGGTAATCCAGAAGCCAATCTGGGATGCTGTCTTAGGTTTAGGTGCCAATGTGGTGTGGGGAACATAGGAAATCATAAGGCTTCAACACGAGATGCCTCTTCCACTGACCAGACCTTCTCAGCCCTGCCCCCTCCCATGTGTGGCTGGCTCCACAATATATTTTGCAAGGCCCTTATGAGCTGGCCCCAGCCTAGGGTCTAAACTCACCTCTTCTGCTCCCTCTACCCTCTTCCCTCCCCACTCTGAATAGACTCAACTGCTTACAAAACTCTCACACTCATGAATCTTTGCCTTTCTCAGACCCCCCCCCCCCCCCCCCCCTCTTCCCCTCACACACACACACACACACACACACACACCCCTCTTCTTGGCTTGGCTAATTCCCACTTAGCCTTCAAGCTTCTGCCCAGGTGTTGCCCAGCAGAGAAAGCTTCTCCTGTCGCCCCCACCACTCCATGGCTGACCTCTGAGTTCCAGAAGCACCCAGAGCCTATTGCTATCTTAATATTGTTTTAGAATCATCTCTTTATTTTTTCCTTTTCATTAGAAACTGAACTCCTTGAAGGAATGCACTATTGCTCCGAGACCTAATACTAAGCCTTGTTTACAGTAGTTACTCAATACATGTCTATTGAACAAATCACTGAATAGATGAGGGAAAGAGAAGGAGGAAGGGAGGGAAAGGAAGAAAGGAAAGAAGGAATAGGGGAAGGGAGAGGAAGATAGCTAACATTTATTGTGTACCTACCACACACCAAGCACACACTGGAACTTTATGTCGTCATAGAGGTGTTAATAATGCTACCCTTGCCCAAGCACTTACTTGACTATAATGTCTACAAAGTCATGATTAGGCATTGTGATATTTTGAGTCCTGAAGGCAAGATGTACTAGGAATTAAGAACTGACTCTCTTAGAGAAAGAACTAAGAAATTTCTCCTGAAGGTCCTGAGCACAGTACCTCAGAAAACCTCCAGATTGGAAGAAACCTCAGAGGTCCAACCTCACACTGAATACAGGAACCCCTTCCACAGCATATCAAATAAACAGCCTGATACTGATGCTTGACACTTCTCGTGGCAGGAGCTACCACCTCATGAGGTAGCCCTTCCCGCTGTGAAATAGCTCTAACAGAAAACTTCTTCTCCGGAGCTGAATCTCTGTGTCTGTGGCTTCTGCCCACTGGTCTCTGGGAGGCAGGCAGAGAAGACTGGATCCAAGGATACCCTCCTGCTTCTGCCCTCTACTCGCACCCATTTACTAGGAGACAGAGACCATGGCCCGTGGCTCCGCCCTGGCTCAGCTGGATCAGCCTGCCTTTCTCCTTCTTCCCAAACAGGCGGCCGATGGATGATTTGATGCCCTTGCGCTTGGTGCCCTTGTGCAAGGAGTCCTGGCTGCTGTTGCTGCTGCTGGGGTTGCTGCCTGGATCCTCCAAAGCACTACAGGATGACAGCCAGGAGGGGGTGGAATGAGAAGAAACATACTTAAATTACAGCATGAGAGATGGAAGTTAGACTTCAGGAAGAACTTACAGTAAGTGTCAGAGTTGGGAGGGTTAAGGGGGTATGATCAGAGCATGTGACCAAAGGAGACATGGGACTGTCCTTCCCTGATGGTGTTTCAAAGACAAGTGAGATGTTCAGACATCTGGGACAAGTGAGATGCAGCCTGTTCAGAGGCAGAGAGAGGGACGCGATAAACTTGGGAATGGAGAGGCTCGATAAGGGGTCTGCTCCATTTACCTCTTGCTTTCTTCCTGGCTCAGGGCTGGGTGGCCAAGCTTCTCTAGCTGCAGCGTCCTGGGTGAGGAAGGAGGAGAAGTCTCACATTTTATGGTGGCTTTATCCTCTCGGTTCTCTTCCCGAGACACTGGTGACTGAACAGACAGTGAAGCCGTCAGGGGATAGAGGGAGAGATCTGGGGCCTGCCTACCCAGCCCAGACAGGCAGAGGAGCACGGAGAAAAGCAGAGGGGAGGCCCTAGGGGCCTCTCAGAGTTCAGACTCAGACTCAAGGGCCCAGTGGGGAGAAGCCAAAAGGGAAAGGCCTGGGAGAATTAACCTATTAGTACCTGCGTCATCAGGCAGCACTCACCAGCAGCTTCCTCCTATGCTTTCTTAAGTCACTGGGCTGGAAGAGAGAGTGAAGGGTGAGCTTGGACTCACCCTTTGGTTGCTTGAAAGTCTACCCCAAGGGGAGCCTAGTGGTCTTAGGATGAGAAGATAGGATTCAGTGCCTCACACAGGCCTGAAGAGAATATCACAGCAAAACAAAACAAAACAACAACAACAAAAAACTGGCTTGAAAAAATAAATCAGAGCTACCTCTGGAAGAGAGAAAGAGGTATGGGCATTGGGTGAGTTTCTTAAGCATTACCCAAGGGAGAGGGTAAGGAAGATACTACATAGCCCTTTCCAGACCCAGAAGGACATGCTGGTGACCTGGTATGCCAGGGTCTGCACACATCATGAGAAGAAGATGCTGGGGCCCAAATGAGAGAGAGTGAGCCCTGCTGTGCCTTCTCAACTCCCCTCGGCCAAGCCCAGTGATGACAAGGTTGTTCATCAACTGCCCCAAGACTCTCACCAAGGTCATGACCCCCATTCGGTCCAGGTCCTGGGTAGCACTGCGGGAAGTAAGCTTAGGTGTGGAGCGGCCGCTGAACGGAGGGGATGCGCTGGCCAGGGACAGGGCAGTCAGAGAGGTGGGGATGGAACCACGTTTGCGCAGCTGGGTCAGGTTTAGGGCCTCCATGCTGCCACTAGTCACTCGTGTCTCAATCTCCTCAGCACGGAGCTCTGTGGACTCCTTCTCTTCCTGGATCATCCTGGGAGGCAGGCAAAACCGGATCTCATGATTAGCCCCAGAGAGGACAAGCAGGAGGCAGATGTGGGCACTGCCTGCAGTCACCACCCAGTGACCCCAGGTAGAAGGCAATGGCCAGGTGTGCCCCATTGTTTTCGGCATTGCAGGGACATACAAGGCCCTGTGGGCAGAGTTGGTTCTATCCCACTGCAGCTTAGACAATTTTCTCTCTTTCTTGTTAACTGGCCTAATGTAACAAAACTCCCTAATTTAACAAAAGCAGTTGCTGGGAAAGGAGGCAATTTAGTCAGTGGAATATAAACCTTCATGGAAGTCAGAATTCTTGACCTACCACTATCTATAGGGCCTCAGTTTCCCAATATACCCAATGTCAGGAATGGTCTAGGTCAGTATTTCTCAAACACAGGACCTTTAATTGATACTGATCCCTGATGGAGCTTTTCCTGTTCCAAGGAAAAATTAGAATAATAGTGATAATGTTATGTGTATGAAGGGGGCACTCAGAGAGGAATGTGTGTATGCACACTCACACACATGTACACACACACTCTCTCTCTCTCTCTCTCACACACACACACACACACACACACACACACACAAACTAATGTAAACATGCCAACTATCCTTTAGGAACAGGACCTATCTTTATTCTCAGAGCATGTCTTTCCAACTTTAGGGATGTTAAAATATCCTTTCTTTTGTAGAATGGTTGTGATAGGAAATGGTAATTATCTTTAATGTTTCATTTTGCAGAATGAAAGTTGGCAGTCCTATGTTAGTACCCTTCTCTTTGTGTGTGTGTGTGTGTGTGTGTGTGTGTGTGTGTGTGTGTGTCTAGTGTTTTCTTCTTAGCTGGTCTGTGAAATCCAAAAGTGTGGGAACCATTGAACCAGATGACCCCTACAGCCCTGTAAAGCTCTGACATTCTCTGGTTTGGATTTTCTCTTGCTGTTTGTCACAAACATTAATAAACTCTCTACAAAGGCAGGGTGAAGTGCAGGTCTTCATAACGTTCCCTGCCAATGGTTTCTGTTTGATGCCTCATTAGAGACCAGAGGCATGACACAGTGCACTGAGTTTAGACCCGAGTTTGAATCCGGGCTCTGCCACTTACTGCATCGCTTTGGGCAAATCACTTAATCTCTCTGGTTTGTTTCCTTGTCTATAAAATGGAGATAATGCTGTCTCCTCCAGTGACTGTGATTAGACTGACCAAAGCTCTCACCCTGAGTTGGCCTCAGTATGTGGGAACTACACTCATAATGGTTATGTTTAGCTTCAGGAGCTTCAGGAACACAGTCTCCATAGACCTGGGAGAGAAAATGAAGCCTAAGAAGTCAATCTGAGGTCCTACCCCTCTCTGTCCAGCACTGGGCCAGAACCTTGCCCGATGCTCCACACAGGGTCCCTAAACTGTGGCACTCTAAGGTCCAGCTGTAAGAGACAAGCAAACACATGTAGAATCTCTCCTGCAGTGACCAAACACAAAGAGCCTCTGTCCTTCAAGGAACCTCCCAGGCCCTCCACCCCTGCCCTAACCTGATCTCCTCGTTGATAGCATCCAGCTGCTCCTGCAGCATCATGGCCAGGGTCTGGGCGTCTGAGTGGCTGCTGGGGGAGACAACGTCCACGGAGCCCCCCAGACCCCCTGGCTCATCCTCATCCACATCAGAGATCTCAGGGTCACTGTCAAAGGCAGGGGTGGCTGTGGGGACCAGCACCCCAGGCAGTGGAGATGGCTCCCAGTCCTTAGCAGAGAAGGAGGATACAGGAGTAGTAATAAGACACACCAGATGACTAAGGAGCAGGACCCTCCCAACCTATACCAGCAGCATTGGCATCTCCTAGGAGCTTGTTAGATACGCTAAATCTCTGGCCCCATCCCAGACCTACTAATTCAGAATCTGCATTTTAACAAAATCCCTGGGTAACTTACTTGTATGTTAAAGTCTAAGAAATACTACGCAAACTCAAGGAGCCAGATAGCAGAATGGTTAGGAACAGATTCCAGAGACTGCCTTGCTTTGAATCCTGGCTCCACCCAATACAAGCTACGAGAGAGTTGTTTCACCTCTCTGTGCCTCAGTTGCTTCATCTGTAAAGTGGGAATGGTAATAGTATCTACTTCATAGGTAGCTCTGAGGATTAAATTAGGAAATGCATGTAAGGCACTTAGCACAGGGTCTGGCACCAAGTAAGCATTATGTAAAGGCAATCTGTTTCTACTCACACAAAAGGTGACTAGATATAGGAAACGAGAAAAAGCCAAGCAGGCATGACTGTCTTGTGTCTCAGAGTTTCAGCACATTACAGGACCCTCCGATCAACCCTCAGAGGAGGTAGCTTCTCAGAAATCATTGTACAAACCCCTTCGGTAGACAAAGGTCCAGAAGCAGAAAGAGCACAGAACTGGGCTGGGAGTGTGAGAAGAGCAGCGGAAGAAAAGGAAAGAGGCCATCTCTAACCCCATCCTGTATGACCCAAACCCCCAAGATCCCCTTAGGGCTCTTTTCCCACTCCTGCAGCCTTTAGACTGAGGTCCTGGGCAGCTGCTGTGCTCTTATAAACAGAGGAAAGGGAGAGAGGGGAGAGAGAAAAAGAGATGACTTCAGACTTCAATTCCCCCCTTACACTAGGGGTTTCCTAATGGCAGAGATGAATCTTCCGCCATCAGACTAGGAGTTCCCTCCTTCTCCACCTATATCTGCTAGTGCCCTAGAGCACGTAGAGGATCTGGGCTCGAGACAGAGCACGGTTAACAATTATGGGGCTAGGAAGGAATCAGACTTCCCCAAAAGATTGAAGTCAGTCCTTTTCTGCCCCTAATCTTTCCTGTTCTCTCTAAATCTCCCTAGGCAGACTCCACATGAGCTACATGCTTCTCAGAAAACTTCAGGTGCCGTCCCATGGCTAGTTAACCTGTCATCCTCTCTCACCTACCCATAAACCACAGCTTTTGTTCCAGAAAGCTTGCCAATTCCATCTTGCCCCTGCGTCCCCCACCCCAACCACTAGAAATACGTGCTGCACACCCAGGTACACATGCACAGGCTTCAGTGGGGCCCCAGGGACTAGCTGACCACCCACCAGCCTCTACCTCTTGCCCACTAGGAGGTCGAGGCGAGACACAGCTGTTGCAGTGATGGCCCCAACCCCAAGGCTGCAGCTGTCGTTGACACGGGGGAGGGTAGGGGGAGGATTTGCATCACACCAGCCGTCTGTGAAACTGGAGCAAGGCGCGTGGCTGAACTGACCCCAAACTCCCCAGGGTAGACCCATCCACACTCACCCCTCCACCCCCTCACCTTGGCAGACTCTTCCCGCAGTGCTGAGTAGGAACGATGCAGACCTTGAGGTGCATGGGCGGTTGCGCTCAGGGAGAACCGCACATCTGCTGCACTGCCTATGTGCGCCCTTGAGTGGCGGATGGGGGAGAGAAGACGATCCCTGAGGACTGACAGCCCCAGCTTACACCCACTGGGCCCAAAGAGTTAAGGGATCTTCAGCTGGGAAAAGAGAAGTCTTAGCAGGACATGAGCTTTTGTTAATGCCTTAAGGGCTGCCACGTAAGCAAGAGATTAGGTTTATTCTCTGGTGCTCCAGGGATCAGTATGATCCAGGGGAGAAAGTTCTAGGGAGGCAGCTTTTCACTTAACACAAGAGGCACCTTCAAATAGCAAGAGCTGGCTTATGATGCAACTGGTAGCTTTAAACAAGCTGCACTCCCCTCAGAGAGGTATTCAGGTGGAGACTCTCTGGCCACCTGACAAGAATGTGTGGGAGGGATCATGGCACCAAGAGAAGTTGGAAGGGATGATCTCTAAAAGTCCTTTGAACTCTGAGCGTCTTTGTTTCTTGGTCTTCTCCCTAGCAACTACCTCTGGTCTTCCTCTGGACTAAGTCCCTGGCCAAAATTCAAGCCAGGCATACTCCCTGTCCCCAGGAAGCTTCAGGAGGCCCTGACACTGTATCAGAGACATGGGCTAGAGAAAGCATTTTGACTGCCCCAAGGGTCTATCCCAACCCTGAAATTTTAGGATCACAGTAATGATCCTCTGGAATATCTGGAGCCTCCCCTACTGACATTTCTTCCCTATGCCTTCCCAGTTTAGAACTTGAGGGAGCCCAGAGCAAAGGGACAGGGTGAGCCTACAACAGGTTACACAAGCTATCTGGAGGGATGGGGGAGTTTCTGCTTATTCCCCCCTTTTCCCTGCAACTCAGTCCCAATTCCATGATGGGGCCAGTGCTTCTATAGTCAAAGCCAAGAACTCCCAACCATTAAGGAAAGCAAGCAGTGCCAAATAGCTTGGTGAACTCTGGGCTATGCCTTTTTAATTGGCGTAGGGGGTTGGTCTCTTCTGAGCAACCTACAGGAAGGGAGAAGTAGGAGGAATTCCAACTACCATTTTCTGTCTCTATTCCCTGCTTCTCTCCACACTCCTATACAAATATTCCTAACAAACTTGAAATTGATACCCAAGTCTCTAACACCCCAGAAACCCACAGGCTTCTCTTCTTCACGTTCAACGTCTCTTTCCCTAATTTAAGCCCTACCCCTCTGCACATATACATGTACAATTTTCCTTTAACCTCTCTTCAAAGAAGCTGATACCTATTTCTCTGATCTAACGAGAGCATGACCATAGGGAACCTTATGTGTTCTGATCTAAGAGACTTTGGTTTGGACAGAAAATATCCAGGAGCCATGAACCTTGAGTGGCCTCATCTACTTCAGTCTCCTCGATCGTCAGCCTGCCTCTCTGGGCAAAGAACTGAGCGCAGGCTTGAGGTCTGAGTTCACTGCCAAATGCTTCACAAAATATGAAGAAAAATCCAGAAGTTCCCTAAAACATGGGCCTAATTTAAGCATTAGGTTCAGAGCCGTAAATAAGGTGTCTCAAAGTAACTAGAGTGAACCAGATACTCCCTGTGAGCAGGCCCTGTGGGACATAGGTGAGCATGTAACTCAGCAGACCCCTGTCAAGGGTGGGCCCTCTGTCAAGGAAGCAGGAATCATGCCCTGTGTCTCATGGCAGTGGCGAAGGATCATCCTGTGCTCTAGTTGCCTCTCAGCATCCCTCAGAGGACAGGTGCTCCCTTCTAAACTGCCCAAGTGAGCTGGGTGACTTTACAAAGTTCTCTAAGCCTCAGTGTCCCACCCTGAATATGAGCAGGACCCTGAGATCCTGGGCGGTGTTTTGGTGGGAGGAAGTCTCCTCCCCCAGGGCCCATCTAGGTCTGTCCAGGACTCCATCACAGCACACTAAGCCTCCTGAGCTCCAGTACCTGGAGTGGATGCCATCCACAAATGGCCCTCCTCGACCCTTCAGCTGGTCCACCTCTTGGCGCAGCTTCTCAATCTCTTCAGACAGGCGGCCCTGTGCCAGGCAGAGCCATGGTGGGGGTAGGGGCGAGGGAGGGGAAGAGAGAGGAGAGAAGGACCAAGAGAACAGCAGAGTTGGGGAGAAGCAGAAGAATGCACTGCAAAGTCCAAAGCCAGGGACCCAAGGCCAAGCCCACAGATGACACCAAAAGAGAAGAGGTCCAACTGGAGAGTGAGTAGAAGGGTTGGCAGGGGCAGGGCCAGAAGGAAGGTCTGTCTGGAAGGACTCTACCAGAACAGGCCTGCTGAGCCCCCACTAACAAGCAAATGCATGACAAATAAGGCTGGGCAGCAGAGGGGCCCTCAGTGAACTCCCAGACCTCACAGACATTGCTAGCATAGGGATAGTGGCTAATCCGGCCCAAATCACCAGAAAGCAAGAGCTTCACCAGGTTTGAGGCCCCACCAAATCCTTCTGTCGAGTCCTTCACAGCGTCCTGCCTCTCTGCTACCCACTCTCTGCCCTATGCTTACGGCTAAGTTTCTTCTTTACAGGTGGGTGGCGGTGATGCATCTACTATGATAGGCTTTAGGGAGGATTAGTGAAATAATGTGTGTACATGGACTAACGAACTGGCTAGCACAGTGCTGGGTTTTAGGGCAGCTGCTTGAAACACAGGCGTGTTCCTTCCTCACAGCAAGCTCAGCCCTCCCGGGCTGGCAGGGATGGCCAGCAGCTGGGTACCTTGTCATGCTGCCACTCTTCAATCTGCCGCTGGGAGCTCTCCAGCTCTTGGATCAGTGTGTTCTGGGGGAGAACAGCTGTGAGCCAAGATGCCCCCCTTCCCCTCCACCCCGGCTCCTCTACTCCGGCTCAGGCCTTCCCCTTCCAGCAAGATCTGCCTTCCGGTCTGCTCTCCCAGCCCTACCTCTCCTTGCCAGACCGCCCCACCCCCAGCCCAGGCTGCTCCTCTTCAGCCTAACTCCACTCCACAGCCCTCCGCAGTCCCCGCCTCACCCAGGCCCCCACCCCCGCCCGCTCCCGACTAAGCTCTCACACCCCAACCATTCCTGCTTGCCCGGCTCCACCCAGACCTTTACCCACCCCGCCCCTTTCCGCCAGCGCAGTCCTTCCGGGCAGCCCTGCCCATCCAGGCCCGCCACCCACAGCACCTTCTCCTCCAGGGCCGCCATGCGCTCCTTGAGGTGGAGCTGCAGGCGCTCATTCGACTCGCTAAGCAGTCGGTCCACGGTGTCTGACAGTCGCTTGCCGTGGTCCTCGTTCATCTTCTCCCGCTGGCGCACCTGCATAACCAGACCACCTTGCACCAAGCCACCCCAGGGCCATCTCACTGCAATCCCAGGGAGCCACTCATTCCTGCTGTGGTTCCAGCCCACTCACCTGTCCCCTTCTTATCCTCCGGGGGCCCCTGTCTGCAGCTTTCCTGACCACCTCCTCCCACCCCTCTGTGGCTCCGTCTCTGTCCCTAGCCAGGTCCTTCCCTAGCTCTCACTCTTCCTCCTTTCCCTACCCACAGACCATCCTGGGATGCCGCCCTGGGGTTGAGAGGAGGCTCGAGAGTCTGGCCCGGTAAGCTCACCCTTGCCAGCTCTTGGTTCTTTTCCTGCAGCTGTCCCTCCAACTGCCGCAGGTGCTCCTCAGTGCTGCCATGCCGCTCTTCAGCCTGGAGGGAGGAATGGGTCAGTGCAGCCCGAAGATCATCTGTCTTCCTGCTCAGACCTTGTATCCCATGCACCCAGGTGCCAGAGCGGCCCTTGGGAATCAGGGCCTCAGGGACCAAGAAAGCCAAGCTCTCCACTTACCATCTTGGAGCATAATTGCCACCACCGTTGCCTTTCTTCCCAAGTACCCCAACCCTGCCGCTTTCCCCCCACCCATACCCTCTCCTTCCTGCTCAGGGCTATAGCCTTGAAACATCCTAGAGCTGGCAGCTCAAGAGGCTAAATTCTCCCTACGCTTCCAGAAAAAAACCCCACTTGAAAGTATGAGCGACCATAAATCTCTATGCCTCCAGATAGATGGAATTGCCCTTAAGAACATGGACTCAAACCAGACTGGTTCAAATCCTAGCTCCCTCCCTTCCCAGCTGTGTGACCTTGGGCAAGTTACTGAACCTCTATTGAGCCTTTATCTCCTCAGTTGTAATAACAGCACCTATGCCCATTGCAAGGACTAAAGGTGATAATCCATGGCAAACACTTAGGACACAATAAGCACTCAACAAATGTTAGCCATGGTGATTACCTTTGTTATTAAAGCAGCCTGGGTAGAGTGGTCTCCCCTTCCGTTCATGCATCTTCAGAGATGGAGACCCCACTGCCTCTTCTGACGAGGTATTCCAGACTATCACACATGTTACAGTCAGGAAATCCCTCTTTAAGGCCCTTCTACTATGACTCCCTTGAACATATTAATCACTTCAGTCCATCCCTTCTTGTCAGTTTTGAGAGTTACTAAAACTGACTGCTCAGCATCCCACACATAATGTCTTCTGCTGCACTTTAAACTCTGCCCTTCACTCCTAGGGGCCTGAGAGGCCTTAGAGACGACCAAATTCAACCCCATCATTGTAGAGATGATGACATCATCACAGAGATAATGACACAGATGCCCAGTTAGGGAGGGAGGGACTTTTCCCAGGTAACAGAGCAAGTCAGTGGCAGAAGCAAACGTGGTCCTGAGTCTACCGAGGTACAGCCAGGCTGCAGGTTCCATCCCCAGAGCCCCCAAGCTGCCACACTGGCACAATGGCCAGCCTCTATCCTCCAGAGGTTCTGGGGTCTGATGCTTATTAAATATTGGTTTTCTTCTCTCCATTGCTTGGGTGGGTAGCTATGGTGATCCCACATGAGGCACCCCTGAAAGCCTCCGACCCGCTGTAAACACTCCTAAATTCTCTTGATTAAGCCACCACATGTAGATGTCCATGCATTTACATAGCTCTTCCAGACCTAGGATGTTTTCAGCCTGCATACCTCCATAAAGTTAACTATCCATTGGGTAAAATTATATTCCCTTTTATTTGTCCAAAAGCTGAAGCCTTCAAACAGCTAGGGATGGTCCCTAGATCTAGAATGCTTCAATTTGACAAAAAAAAAAAGATATGCTCAGCCTAAACTCCCACCCCATTCAGAGATGTATAAACTTTGGTCATATTTCCTCTCAGATTTCACCTTTCCAGAAATGAAAGTCCTATTTTTTCCACTTCAGACCCCCCCAAAGGAAGTGTTAACTACAGTGGTGTAAATGATAATAAAAATGTTTTGCATCAGCACAGTTTCTTCTACTTATTAAAGTACTCTTACATCCCTTCTTACGGAACTGTCACGTCCCTGTGGGGTGATGAGGGCAGGGATTACTCTTCCATGTGACAGACACAACAACAAAGTGTGTTTCCTGGAGTCATGCAATGAGAAGCAGTTTCCTGGCCCCCAGCCCAACGTGCGTCCCACTCTCTCCATTCACTGCCTGGCTACATAAGAGCTCAGGAAGCAGGGAACAGAGGAGGATTCCCAGGCCCTTGGCCCGCTTGCCTTGGTGAGGGCTGCAATTCTCTGGGCCAGCTCAGCCTCCACCTCTGGCAGCGTCTCAGCCTTGCGCATCGTCTGCCGCAGTTTCTGCTCTGCTACCTCCAGTAGCTCCTGCAGATGCTGGGCTTTCTCCTCACACTAGCAAAGTAGGGGGTGGGGAGAAGAGTCAAGAGGGAGCACTGAAGCTCCCCCCACCCCCTGGCCCATCCTCAGTAGAGAGCAAGTGATAGGTCAGAAGCCGCAGGGAGCAATCTTGATTCTTGGCTACCCAGAGATACCTGACTTTCCCTTTCCCAAGGCGACCAGCACCTCAGGGTCTCCTGGGCCACCAAGGGGAGGTTCCAGCATGATCATTAGGACCTCCAGGGTCAAGTACAGTGTCCCCCAACCCCATCTGCAGGAGTTACCTGGCGGTGCAGGGACTCCTTATTGGCCAGCTCATTCTCCAGTTTGTCGTTGAGGTCATGAATCGATGTGGCCTCACGCTGAGCAGCCAGGTAGCGCTTCTCCAGTGTGGTTATTCGCTTCTCCACGTCCTCCTTCTGGGCTAGAGCCTGAGCGGTACAGGAGAGGATGAGATGAAGGTCATCAGCTTTTTCCTGCCCTCATCGTGTCCGCACCTCCCCACCAAATCTGGCTGGCTGTATCTCCTCCACATTACCCTATCAGTTTCTGACCTTGACCAATCCCTCCCACCACTCGTCCCCACATTGGACCCTACCAAGTGTTCAGTCTTACACTCCTCAGCCCTTGCCTGGCTCTCCCTCTACACCCAGGACATCCAGCAGCTACCTTCCTGAGTGCCAAATACCTGCACCCAGAAAGATAGGGTCAGGCCCAGGCCCTTGCTCACTTCCCGGAGGTCCCGCTGATGTTTGCTGCTCAGCTCCTCCGACTTGATAAGGTCCCGGCGGGCCGTGCCCAGGTCCTCCTCAAGTTCGGCCACGGTTGCTGTCAGGGTGACCAGTCGCTCCCGGGCCTGGCTCAACTCAAAGTTCTGCTTCTCCAGGAGCTCCTGCAGCTCTTCTACCTGGCCCGCGTCATGCTCCAGAGACAGTGAACTATCAGTCAGTCATCAGAGCCTTGGGCATCCCATTCCCCTGCCCTGCCCTGGGGAGGTGGGAAGAGGGACAGCACAACCAGAGCAGATCACAGCTCTGCCCCCAATTTTAGAGCACACCTCCAGGTACACCCTTCTTCCTCTGGCCTCCAGAAGCTCATTCCAGACAATGACCAAACACTCTCACTCTCCTGTGTATCTCTTGAAAAATAATCATGTCTAGTTTTACCTGCTATTTCAGCCTCTTGTAACCTAGAAAGGGGCATGACTAGGGGAACAGAGGCTCAGAAAGAGAAGTGATCTCTTAGGTACATGGCACCTAACAATGCAAGTGAACAAACACATTATATGCTTAGCAGTGTGCGTACTGGGCACTAAAACAAAAATCTGTAGAGTTCTTTGCAGATGGGGTAGGGGGAAGAAGGAAAGAGAGATGGTACCATTGGAGAAAGCTCCAAATTTAAGTCAAGCAGTTGCTCTACTGCACTAAGGCAGGGCAGGGCCCCCACCTCCTGTCCGGGGTAAGACACGTCCCCTCTATGCAGCTCCCCATGACCCACCTTCCACAGGCATTTCGGTCCCAGTTCCACAGTCCCCTCCTCTTCTGCCACTCCATCCTGAACCCCTGCCTCCTGCTGTAGGGCAGACACCTGTAGGGCACAGTCCCCAGGGCAGTGAGTCAAAGAGAAGAGAACCTCCTATATATTCCAGGCCCTTCCAAGTCTCCCACCTCCTAGAGAGAGATGCCTCCTGTTGGCTAACAGTCTCCAGTTAAGACAGAGGGGAGAAATCTGATGAGGAACAGAGTGGGGAAAAGGGGTAAACCAGCCTTGGCTTCCAGGAGCTGTAGTCTACAGATGGAGGGAGGGCAAGCAGCTTACCTGCTGGTGGGCACCCGCCAACTGCTCTTCCAAGGTGGTCACTCTCTCCAGGGCCACCCGGAGCCGCTCTCGCACCTGTCCAAGATAAAAGGGGAGATGAAGAAAGAAACAGGGACCCCACTGGACTCAAGTTGGAGAAGCCTGGGCTTGGTCGACCACCACTGAGCATAAGGCAAAGAGAAGGACCTGCCAAGGGGCAAATTTCTGAGAGGGAACCTAATAGGAGGACCTGGAAATTGGATTAATGGTAGGAGGGAGCCAGTTATGAAGCTAGAAGGCAGTTTTCCCTTCTGAAACACAGGATTCAGAAATCTCAGAGAAGGGATGCACGGAGGCTCTGGGGAAGCCTGGCTGGATTGGGGGTGGAGGCAGGCTGTGGGCCAGCCTAGGTACCTTCTCATCCAGGGCCTTGTGGTGCACAAACAGTGACTTGAGAGCCTTCAGCACCTCCACCTCACTGGAAACCCCTGAAGGTGACTGAGCCTGACGCTTCACCACAGTCATCCTCAGTGACCGCTCATGACGGGACACTAGGCACTCCAGATGTTCCAGAAGCAACTGGCAGAGAGAAGGGGAGGGCAAGAGGAAGGGCTGTGAGCCCAGGGGCTATAAGCAGGGTCCACACGAACACCCAGCAGACACGAGTACTGCCATGTGTACCATTGTTAGAATGGTGAAATACTTCTGTGTGGGTAAACAGCGGCTGCCCCAACTGCATACCTGCCCTAGCCTCTCTCCCAAGACCCCGACCTTTTCCTTGACCCCGAACTAGAGGTGAAAAGCCTAGCACTGATGGTTGAACAAACTGACTATCACGCCAGGGTGATATAAGGCAGGAGGAGGTTAGGATAGGGCTGGGGATGTGCTGGCCCTGGCCATGCCTGCTCCCTTGGTCATACCCCCCACCCCCAAAGCACAAACACACACCAGGTCACCCCACTTACCCTCGTGTTATTCCGCTCTGCTTTCAGCTCTGATATCTCTTCCTCCCTCTCTAGAAGCTGCTCCCGACACATACTCAGCTCCCGGGTTAAGGTGGCAAATTCCTGAAAACCCCCAAGGCCCCTCAGTGCTTGGGGATCCACCACCTAAGCAGTATCCTGCACGCCCGAGTCAGTGGTGGGATCCTCTCACTCGTCCCTTACTTCCACCAACTGTCCCCAGAAAAATCCCTATCCATCCATACTACTAGCATGTGCTTCTCCAGAGGGGAAGCATTCCAAGGATGTGGTAGGGTGCAAGGGAATACAGTTGCATAGAAGAGTGAGAAAGTCACCAGGTCTGCTCTGCGCCCCTTCCCCCTCCAGCCACCAATATAACCTGATTATGTCCTCCCTCCCATTTTGTATTTCTGTTTCTCCAACAATCCAGTGACATTTCCCTTTAGAAGTGGATGGAGGGGAGTTTCACTTCTGGTTTGGCATTAGTAACGTCCCTCCCCAACTCTAACCCCTCTGACACACTGCTGCTAGGGTAATCTCCCAAAGCACAGTGTTGTTTACACCATTAAATCCAAACTTATTATCCTGGTTTCCAGCTTCTCTCTCACAGTTCCTTTCCATACACCCTAAGACCTGGTCAACCTGGGTAACCGCTGTTTACAGTCACTAGTAAACTTCTTAATTCCACACCTTTGCTCAGTGGGCTCCCCCGACCCCTGAAAGCCCAATCTTCTATCAACACCTGATCTTTCAAAGTCCATCTCAAAGGACACACCTCCTTGGGACCTTTCCAGACTTCCCAGTGGAAGGCTTTCTCCCTCCTCTGAAAACTGTTCCGAACACAGGCACTCTGAGCACCTACCATGTACCAGCTCCTGTGCTGGTCACTGGAAACACAGTAACAGAAAAGACATAATCCCTGCCCTCATGAAGCTCCCAGTGAGGGGTTGAGATCAAATCTCAGGTCTGCCCGTTTGTGACCTTGGACAAGATACCTAACCCCTTTGAACCTCTAATCCGAAAGACAATCCTCCCTCAAGTGTTGCTCTGAGGATCAATTATCTGGAAGCTATTTTAGGTGTTGACACTGTTTTAACAGTCCTTTGGGGGCCCCTCTTCTCTTCCTCCACATTTTCTTCCTATCATTTGGGTTCTTGTCTATCTCCTTTCTAGTGTTCGAGCTCCCTGGGGGCAGGGACTGGCTCCTTCATCCTGGGGGGGGGCTTGTTCAGGGCTCCGAACACAGTGGGGTAGGATGGGCCCATCTCCCACCCCAATTCCTCACCAGGGCTCCATATTCCTATCTACAGAGCATCACAAGACTATGCCCCCCGAACGCTTCTGGACCCTGGGTAGGAAACTCAGCTACTCTGGTTCTTCTCCCCACACGTGGGGGAGAGGGCCTGGAGCTGAGTCCTGAGCTGTGTGGCCCCTCAGGGCTGCCTCCCTAACCCTTGCAGCACCCCCACAGGCAGGGTGGCCATGAGCGGTTTACCAATCTCCTCAAGTTTCAGCTTCATCATTTGTAAAATAGAGATGATGGCGATAACAGCGCTAACTTCGGCACTGTGGAATTTAGTGAAGGAAATTCCAGTCAAAGTGCTTAGCACACAGAAAACACAATAAATGCTGACCATTATTGCTAGTAGTCATGTTGATTGAGAAGAATAAGTGGGGTATCACAGCTCTGCCTATAATTTTCCATGTGATGCCTCTTGTTTTTTTCATCTGTGCAATGAGAGGTGGACTAGATAACCTCTAAGGCTTCTTCCATCTCCATTCTCTGTGGTTCGCCACCCACCACTTCCAAGAACAGGACCCTGGTGAGGAGCCTCCAAGGTGGAGGTGTCTTTCCAGTATAGCCTGCCACCTTCTGGCTGCATGGGTTCACTGCAGTTGGCAACTAAGGCTGGGTTTTCTTCCTGCATCAAAGTCCATCCTTTTCTCCAGGTGGAGCCAATTTCAGCCTGAGGAGCTTGGGAGTAACAGGGAAAAGTATTATGAAGCAAGGCGAAGGAGAGTAAATGCTCTGTGAATTCCATCTGTTGAGACGCTACTAGACGAAGAGAGCTGAGGGCCCAGAAGCTGAGGGCTCTGAAAGGCTGGGTGAGGGGAAGGGGATGAGGGAGATGCAGACTATCGGGCCTTACCTGGGGAAGGGCAGAGTTAAGGCGGCACTGGAGCTGGTCTCGCTCACGCAGGGCATCCTGGAGCCGGCTCTGTGTCGCCGCCAAAGTCTCCTGATTCTCCCGAAGGGACTCTAGCAACTTCTCCCGCTCATCCAGCATGTTCACCATCAGCTGCTCCAGGTTGGCGTCAGCATCCGTTCCATGGGGAGACCCCAGGGGGTCCCCCTCGGTGATTGTGGGCATCACTTCACACATGGTGGGGGTGGGCAGGGCCTTCTCAGTGTCAGGGCACAGGGGAGGGGTTCACAGGGTTGGCACCTCCAGGGCGACCCGGGTAGGGGTCTCAGAGCAGGCAGTGCCAGGTGAGTGAACAGACGGCATCAGTTGCTCTCGGTCTGAAAGGGGCCTGGTGCCCAGAGCGCCCCTGTGAAATGGAGTGAGAGGGCCTGGTTTAGCCTCTCAGCGCTGGGGCTGGGTGCCCTATGTCCCCAGGCAAGCAGGCAGCAGCTGAGCGTGGCCATGACAGGCAGGGAGAGCAGGGCTGGAAGAGGGCCCTTTCCTTAGACTGAGCACTGGAGCCTGGCAGAGTCCCAGCTGGGTCCAGCAACAACCATCGTTTCCGGAGGGCAGTGGTCTGTTGGAGAAGAGGCTGCTGTGAGAAACAGCTGAGCAGAGAAGGGCATCCAGGAGGTGGGTGAGGGGAGAGGAGGCAGGAACGTGGACCAGAACGTGGGGGAAGAGGGTGAAGAGTTGGCGCATGCCCCTTCTCCGGGCTTACTCACTCAGATGGTGCCTTCCTTAGTTCTTCCAAGAAATGCACATGCCCACTGCTGTAGCCTCTGTCACCAGCTTCCCCCACCCACAGCTGTCAGAAGTGCAGCCGCAGTGGAGTGGTTCCCCCACCCACGTGGCTTGCTGGCCAAATATAGAAATAATTCAGTAAGCGGCAAGGGAGCAGCCGGAAGGCTGCCCAGAGTCCTCCCGAGACCTGAGGCTGTGAGAGTGGGAGGAGAGGAAATAGGGTCCCTACCCCACCCCATAGGTTTCTCCCCCACATTCAGGCCAAGGCAAGCACAGAAGGGGTTAAAGGGCTCTTAGTGGGTGTGAGTCCCATACAGGATGGACTACTGGGCTCATAGGAAACAGGGACAGAGTAGCTCCTACCCTGACCACTGGCACAACATGGCTCCTTGAAAAGGCACAGGCTGGACACTGGGGCAGGCAGACAGCCCTGACCTGCTCCATGCCCATCATTCAGGGAGGAGGCTCTGGCTCAAGTAATCCCCTACTCCTGAAACCTGGCAGACAGCAGGCTTCCATTCTGAACTCATGGCCTACCACCTCTGGGTTGGAGCAGAGACAGAATGATGTAAAGGATTCATGTTGGTAGGTGGGGGAGATGTTACTCTCCTAGGGCAGGGCTTCCATGTGGGGCCCCTGCTCGTGTCTGGGAATCTTCTCCCTCCATGTAACTTCCCAATGCTGGCACTGTCAGAAAGTCACCAGCTAGGGTGGTTAGCATGTGCACAGCCTGGCAGTAACGCCTTGAGCCTGGCACAGGGAAGTCCAGTGGTCAGAGCAAAGGAAGGTGAACCGAGGAAGGCAGCATGCAGCTAGGGATTTCTGCCTGCCATCAGCCTCCAACCTCCCTGCTCACTGCTGGAAGGCTACCACCTTAATCAGTTTTCAGAGGGAGCTGTCTTCAGAGCTCCTGTTTTATGAGAGGTGGGATGTGAGACACCCAGCACAGTAATGGGCACTCAGAGAAGCCCCGTAAATGGTGCTTTCCTTCCTTCCCTACCCCATCCCCATTTGGGAGACAGAGGGACAGCTTCCTGTTCACCCCTCAGGTAGCAGACTGGGGAATAGGCAGACTGGGAGGGTCAGGGAGAGGACAGGCGGCATCTGGACCCAGTATGAGGTGAAAAGTCAGACACAGGGAACCTCTGGCCTGTGGCAGGGTTGAACCTAGCAGGGGAACCAAAAATGGGCCATGTCTCTTCTACCTGAACCCCCCTGTCATCCCCTTATCCCCTCCCCCAGAAACGGGGGATAGCCAAGGTGAGGCTGGGGAGGAACTTGGGCCTGGATAAGATAAAAGTTAGAGTGCCAGCTTGAGAACTCCCAAGCTCATACCCACAGCCATTCCCAGAGGGCCCAGTAGTTCAGGCAGCATGTGGGCGTGCCCACACAGGGAGACACAGGAACTTGGAGACTTAGGACATACACATGTTCCCAGACACAGAAACTGGATACACACTCTGATCCAGGGATCCATTCCCCAAGCCGGACAGTCACCGTAAAGGGCAGGGTTCCAAGAGGTGAAAAGTAGCACCTTGGTCTGCACCCTACCTTACCCCAATATCGCTGCCCCACAGAGCAGCTGGGAGCAGGTAGGAGGGGCTGCTACCCCAGTCTTGCCAGAGGTGCCATCTCACTAATGCTAATAACAGCAAGTCCTCTGATTCTCCTACCCACTTCACCCTAAAGCTCCAATCTGTGAGGTTTAAAGGCCACATTGGCCCCCCATACCTCTCCAAGCTCATCAACAGCCAGGCCCTCATCCCTTCCCACTCCCCTACCCCCATCCCAAGAAGAAATGGAAGCAGAAAAGAAGGCCAGTCTGGGGAAGGGGCCCCCTATGGCAGAGGCTGTCTTTTGGAGAAGAGTATAGTGTGCTCAGGAGCTCAGGGACTCAGTCCAACAGATCTCCAGGCAGCCTGCAGTGTAATATAGAGGAAGGAGCCCAGAGCGGGGACTCTGGAGACCTGAGCTGCAGTTCTGCCAGACCAGCTGAGTGATCTTGGGCTTGTCATGACCTACTAAGGCCTCTACTGTAAGAACCCACAGCCCTTATTTAGTCCACCTCAGAGGGATGAGATCATGGATAAAGAGTTTGGAAAAGCACCCCACAATTGTAGGGGAGTATGAATTACCTTAGTAGTGGGCAAAGGCAGGCCTGTGGGTGGGTTTTGCCTCTCACTGTTGTGGCCTCTCCCGTTGCGGAGCACAGGCTCCGGACGCGCAGGCTCAGCGGCCATGGCTCACGGGCCCAGCCGCTCCGCGGCACGTGGGATCTTCCCGGACCGGGGCATGAACCCGCGTCCCCTGCATCGGCAGGCGGACTCTCAACCACTGCGCCACCAGGGAAGCCCTGTGGGTGGGTTTTTTATGGCTCCTTATGGGAAAGGGGTTGGGAAGTTCTCAGGAAGGAAACATAGGACCTCAGGCTGCCCACAGTGATGTGCTGGCCATTTGGTCTGACTTGGCCTCCTCAAATCCTCCTAGTCATTCTGGTAACTGAGAAGCTGGCTTCAGTGCCATCAGCCCTTTCCCAGCCTCCTTCCAAACCGAGAGCCAGGTAGCGACTCCACTTACCCTAGTGAACTGGCATCATGTAGAGCAGGTTGAAGATGAGCCCAGAGATGTACGCCAGACAGATGCCCCTGAGATGACTGTCCAGGACTTCCTCTCCCTGTCCCCACAAACTGCACAAGCATGGTGAGCAGATGGGAGCTTGAAGACAGCCACATCAGGACGCCTGGCTCTTCCTGGTTCCATGGCCATCTTTAAATAGCGCAATTATCATCTCAGCCTAACACAAGCCTCCTCAACCCCTGCATAATTCCTAAGTAACACTCACACGTCCTGATTCAGAAGCGAAAGCTACCAGCCCCCAAAGCAAACATATGTGAGGGGTTTTGCCAAGTGAGGAGTGTGGGCAGGCTGTGACACAACAAAGGGCTCCAGACTGAGCTGATGTGTGTGTGAGGAGGGAGGGGTCAGATGAAAACCAGGCCTCTGGGGTTTTAAACACAGAAGAGGCAGACTCTGAGGCCTCTTTGGCTCCCCCAAAATCACCCCCATCTTTTCCTAACAAACAGGAGGGATGGGCACTTGGGTCTGATGCTCTAGCTGGCCACATGCACACACAGACAGGCTGGCTCCCCACTGCCCTGCCAGATGGCAGGCCCCACCATGGTGAGACAGCTCAGCAAAGGCAAAGCTACCAGCTCCCATAGAAGCCAAAGGGCCAGGGCAAAGCTTCCAGGAGCTGTGCTCAAGTCTAAGTGGGCCATGAGCCACACAAAGAGGGCGCTTCAAGGTAAAGAGGTAAGAGAGGAAGGTCAGATACCCACCCAATTGGAAGGTCAGGTACCCACCCAAAAGGGTGAAGACCTGAGGAAATGGGGAGGGAAGTGGTCATCTAGGAAAATAATAACAATTATAATAGCAACTATGATTTATTCAATATTTACCATGTGCCAGACACTGTGTTGTCAGTGGACATATATTAACTTACTTTAATCCTCACAAGTCCTTGCAAGGAAGACACAATTCTTCTTCTCATTTCACAGATGTGAGAATTGGGACTTAAGGCATGTAATCAAGTCTATTACAGCTAGTAAGAGGAAGAGCTAGGATTCAAGTCCAGTCTGTCTGACTCCAAAGACGGGTAGGGGATGGAGGAAGAGGGAGTGGACATGACTCCTTCAGGCATCGTGTTTCTTCCAAGAGGCCAAGGCACTTGGGCCCCGGCCCTTGTCGCCTTCATCCAGGGAGATGGCAGCCTAGGGATAGCTCACCTCGGGCCTCCTCCACTGATCCTCCTCTAGCTTGAGCGAAGGCCTCTGTGTAGCAGGCATCATGGTCATGAGGCAGCCACTTCCCCACTGGAAGTGACCTGTCTCCAAAGCCTTATCTACCCCTACCCAATTCTCTCCCTCTACCGCCTAGCTGGCTCCATACTGAGTTGTAAGGAGACTGCCTGAGTTCCCCATACCATACCACATTACCACAGGAGCTACAGAAACACATTCTTCTGAGCCCTCAGCCCCCCTCACCCTGTGGGGTTTTCAGATACCATCCTCCCAGTAGAATGAAGTCTCACTCCCCACCTCTTCTTTCCTCTAATCCAGAAGCTTCTCCTCCTCCCTTGTTCCTCTCCCTATCCAGCTCAACACCCCAAGAAGACTTGCCCTCACTCATCCTCTTCTCCAAAGCCCAGTCAAGCCCTTTCTCCCCTGCTACTCCCTAGCTCTGCCCACTGTCATGCTCCCAAAGCCCACCTATTGCTCATGAGCTTCTAGCACCTCACCTGGCCTGCCTCAGTCTTCCTTTCCATGTTAGTCTAAGGAACTCCTGATCACCCTTCTAAGCTCATCTTAAATACCACTTTCTCCATGGAGCCTTTTCTGATTCCCCCCCATACATAAGATTGGCTCTTCCACTGACCCAGCACAGCCTTTCCCTCTGTTTGTGCAACATAGACTCATCTGAAGACTCTAAGGTAAGAACCATAACCTAATTATCTTTGGATGCTCCAACACTTACCATGGTCCTAACATACAAGGAGCTGAATGGATACATGTGACAGAGTCATTCTGGGAAGTGCATCTCTGACCAACTTTAAAGAAGGGGAACTCTAAAATAGAAAAAACTGACTCAAGGCCTGGGAATAGGTTCATTTGTCTTCCCCTCTGAAAAATTAAAGCTTCTTTACAGCAAGATGGAGGCCACTCCTGCCTCGAAAGGAAGACTCTGGAGCAGGCTGACGGGCTGGCTCCTCCACTGACATGTGACTCTGGAAAGACACCTAATCTCTCTGAGCCTCCGTTCTTCATCTGTGAAATGGAGATGACAATAATATTCACCTCACATAGCTGATGTGAGGATTACTAGAGTTAACATATGCAAAGTGTTGACATCCGTGTCCAGAAAACACTCAGTAAGTGTTAACTCTTAGCACCCCAGGCTCCTGAAGCACCTCAAGGCTGGGCCCACTCCAATTACAATAAGAAAGCTAAAAATCTATATTAGCTACAGGAAGCCTTCCAAGAGAAAAACACTCTTGGAAAAGCTTTATTGACAGTTTCTCACTGCTGGCCACAAATCACTTCTAAATCATCCAGTTCCCTGGGTCCCTAAAAGGCCAGCAGTTAGACTTTCTCCGGGCATCAGGTTCCCAAATCTGGAAAATGAAGGTTGTAACACACAACACGAGACAGTGATCTTACAGGGTGTCATGAGGGTCAAAGGAGTTAAGAGACATGAAACTGTTCTGAAAAGTATAAAATGCTACCCAAGCACAGGTTAGCACTGACTGCCAGCCCAGATACTCAACTTCCGAACATCGCGCATTCTGCTGATTCAGGAACAGGCCTCTCTATCTGACAGGTTCCTCTGGGCCTGTATCTGTGAAGCCCATCCCTCCAGCTGCTCCCCAGGAGTTAGTTATGAACCACCTCTTGCTAAGACATGGCCTATCATTTGGGTAAGCAAACAACTTTCTGTCCAAACCAGGAGAGTGAATGGAAGCACTGTTAACAACCACACCAGGACACAGATATAAACTGCAGCTGCCCCAGGCATGCCTAGCCGTATGGTTACTCGCATTCTCACCACCCCAGGAGGACTAATGTCAAAGGCTAGTGGGGAAAGGAGGACTGCAAGTCTCTGTGCACCTCCAAAATAGTTCCGCTTCAAAATTACAGCCATCACAACTACATCTTTAAATTAAGCCAGGGATTTGCAAACTGGGCTTTATGATAGAGTACCTTTGGGGCAGCCCGGGACGAAAAAAGGGGAAAGAGGTGAGACAGACACAAAGGGCTCTGAACTCTCTTTCCTTTCTTTAATCTCATCAACTCCAAGTCTGTCAATTTTACTGGACATGTGATTAAGGTTTCATTTGTATAAAAGGGTTCCAGGCCTAAAAGAGGTTAGAAGATCCCTGGTAAGTATTGTCTACAGAGACCTCTGCTAAAATAAATACATGTTCTCTCAGAGAGGCAGCACATCAATGCAACAGAGAAAAAAACCTGGGAAGGCTACACAGGTGACACTGGGGGCCCACATTCTAAATGTCTAGTAGAGATCATTTATTTACAAAAGCTAAGATAGGCAGGACCTGGCTTTCACTGAACTTACATCATTAAGTACAGTAACCCTAGCCATCTTCTGCTAATCAGAGCCGTTGATTAACACTTACAGATGTCCTCAAATAATGTTCGCAAAAGAAGGAACAAAGTCATAAATGTCATCTATTTGGAGGATAAAAATCTTTCAAACTAGAGGTCTGTGTGGGACAAATATGGGTCCTCTGGTGTTCACAAAAAACTGCACAGAGGTTTCTGCGTTAGTAGGTCAGCCCATCAGATTAGAGAGCTGTCACGTAGCAGAAAACAGAACTGCTCAGGGGTAATCAGGAACACCAGAAGGGAGTGCTGCCAGGTGCTGGGGTGTGAAAGGTCTAGAGTACACAGAACTACCCAGAGACATGTAGGCACCACAAAAAGTGTGTATGTGTATGTGGTCACAAAAGTATGGGGGCTATATGTGGTTATGACACAGAGAGAACGTGGGGGAAGGCATGTATATTCACACAACAGAGTGTGTAAGTGCATAGTCATGAGAATTTGTGGCGTAAATGTGTAATCATGAAAGAGAAGCGTGTGTGTGTGTGTGTGTGTGTAAGAGTATGGTCATGAGAATGGGGTCCTGAGCGCATGTGCGTGAGAGAGCATGAGTATGTATAATGGTGAGATTGTGTGTGGATGTGTGTGGTCACAAGTGTATGACAGGGCTCATGATGGTATACGACTGTGGTCGTGAGAATGCATGTGTGTGTGCAGTCATGAGAATGCATCTGGGAGTCATGAAATCATGTATGTTCATAAGAGCTCATGGGTGCCGTGAGAGCTTTGTGTGTGTGCGTGATCATGAAAGCGTACCACTGGTCATGAAAGAGTGTAAGTGTATATGTGGTCTTGAATTTCTGTGGGAATGTATGAGAGGGAAAGGAGGGAAGGATGAGGATAATAATGAAGGAATGAAAATTCCACTTGTTCCATGTGCTCTGTCCCAAACAAGGGCCAAAATTTTGGGGTACTCCACAACTGGCCTAGTGTGAGCTGAGGTCAAGGAACTGGGCCCAGCCCACCCTTCTACTTACCACCATCCATCAGAGCTCTACTGCCTAATCTCCCGAGCCCAGGGCTCCGTGTGCATTAGAGATGGCGGTGGTCACCCCCTAAGTCTCCCAGAATGCTCACTCTTCATGGAACAGTCAACGTCAAGCTCCTGGCCTGGCTGCACTTCCCAGGCCCTCCTCTCAGCAGCTATCCTCTAAGCCAGCGGTCCGCAACCTTTTTGGCACCAGGGACTGGTTTTGTAGAAGACAATTTTTCCACGGACGGAGTTGGCGGGGGCATTGTTCAGGTGGTAATGTGAGAGATGGGGAGCGATGGGAAGCGGCAGATGGAGGTTCGCTCGCTGGCCCGCCACTCACCTCCTGCTGTGCTGCCTGGCTCCTAACAGGCCTTGGACTGGTACCTGTCTGTGGCCTGGGGGTTGGGGACCCCTGCTCTAAGCCAAACACAGGAAAATCCTCTTCTGTAGTAGCTGTCAAGAACCTCTATCATCCAGTGCCGACCCCCACCCCTGCCCATATTTGGAACTGCAGATTCCTGCTTGAAAGGTTTTCTGACGTCATGCAGGCCAACCTCCTTCCACAACATCCCTGACAGTTCAGTCTTTACTTGATTATCCTTCAGGAATAAGGAGCTCACAACTAAATGAGGAATCCCTCATTGTCCTAAGGAAGTATTTCTTAAATTAAATGGAAACCTATCTCTCCTTTAAAATGACAGTTATCTATCTGAAGACAGTGGCCATGAAGTCACATCAGACATGCATTTAATTTATGAGAATAAATTTATGAGAATAAATAAAATTCCACTGGCTGGGCAAAGTGAGCAATAAAGGCCTCTAAATGCAAACCAGCTATTTCATCTGACACTTAACTACAAAATTATACTTGTACTTAAATACTCTTTTAAATCATTGTATACATTATGTATTTTTATAATTACTATATAATATATACTATATCTGTACATTAGTATTATTATTCAGAGTTATAAACCTAAACCACATACCATGGCTTTATGGGAGATTTAGGAATTTTCACTTCACTGCCTATAGAATCTAATTCCCCCACTGATGTAATACCACTGTATTGGGTCCCCAGAGGATCCTCTGCTCCTGGTTAAATATTTCTAGTTGCAAGGAGGTTTCATTGAACCCAGAGGATCTGAAGACAGATCTCTTTAATTCAATCCAACGATTACTGTCAGTAGACTTCCTATTCTGTAGTAGATTACTTACTTAGCTAGGAATTGTTATGGATACAAAAGGCAAGTAAGATACAATCTTTACCCTTAACAAGTTCACAGTCTACCTGAAAGAACTTAAGATATACAAGTAATCATTTGGGAGCAATACGGAGTAGCATGTGATCAAAGATTCAGTCTCTGGCACAGCCTGGGGGTCAGCACTGAGCACCACTTGGAGTATGACCAACTGAATTAACTGGTGATAGTTTCTCCTCCAGCTCTTTGAGAATGAAGCAACCCCAGCTAAGGCCTCTCAGCCCCTGACTGACAGGCAAGAAGCTGCTCTGGATTAGAACTGATTTCACCTGGGGGAACAGAAGACACTTGAGGGAGGTGGGGGGCTGCAGCTCCCGATGCTCTCTGAAAGCAGAGCAATGAGCTGGGCAGCAGTCATGCTTCTTGTGTGACTGGTGAGCCAGCGGCCAGGAGATAAGAGGGGAGTCCTCAGGCTCTGCCAGCCCTGGAGTTTCATACCATCCTGGCTTAGAGCTCCTTCCCCCACTGCTATTTCCCCATGACATTCTCAGGTCCTAACAGGCCACTCCCAATTCAGAAAAGGTCCCCTAGAAACACCCCCTCTCAGAGTTCGCCCAGCACCAGCACCTCTCTGAGTACTCTTTACTCTGCTGGCCATCCCAAGTGCCACACTCCTGTGAGCCAGCACCACATGCCCTCCAGAGCTAATTATATCTCAGTGAGCAAGCAGGCCAGAGGGGGGATGTATGGTGACTTCATGTGGCTGCAGTACACACTCACCCCTCCCTCTGACCCCACTCCCTCCCCTCCATTTCTCCCAATTCCCTACCTGGGACCTAGACTCTGAGGCAGCTTTCACTCAGTCCTCCCTGCTCCATACCAACTCCTCCTCTCCAGCACACACACACCACACACAACTCCATACCACTCAGAAACCACACGTTGTTTCTATGTCAACCCATCCAAGGGCCTAAAGCCCCAGAGTAGAGTATCCCTGGCATAGAAAGACCTCAGCTATCTCCCCCATATCCTAAAGCCCCATTGGCCCCCACCTCCCTGGCCCTGCTCCTCTCCCTAGCTCTCACCCTGCTATCCTCAGAGGCTCTCTCTGAAAGGATCCACAAGCAATCCCTGACAGCTCTTTCAGCTCTAAGATTTCAGCAATCTCCTAGAGAGGAGACCCAGCAGCCTGTCTGCCTGCCCTGCCCTGCCCCTCCAATCTCTCCTTAGCACCCAGCTGCCAGACCTTCCTTATACATGCCACAGTTCTGGCATCATGACGTGCTCAGCTGCACATGCCCAGATACCACTGGACGAGATTTCCCTTTCACATCCCCCCACCCCTACTCTTCTATCTTCCAGAGATGGTGTCTCCCATTGTGCTGGGTGTCTAGTGCATTCTTGGCCCCTGATAACCATTGTGCCATTCATTGCTTCATTTTTATCTTGAGATACCTTTTATCCCAGGCAGCCTCCTCACACCTCAGGACAAAGTCCTAGAAAATAGCCAAAGGAAATCATTCAAACTGTTCCTTTTGCTAAGGTAGTTTTCCTTGGGACTGCCTGCTAATTAATAGTGGTAGGGGGTGGATAGGTTGGAATCCAGTTCAGACAGTTATTTGAAAGGATGTGGACAGGGCTCTGGCTTTTTCTAATCCAATAGCAATGTAACAAAATTGGGGCTGGTGGAGGGCGGGGAGCGGGGGCTGGCGGTGTGCAGAGCTGTTAACAGTGTCTACTGTGTGTACCTTTCAGGTGCTCCATAGCCCTAAATTGCCTTCAGAAGACTTAGCACCTAGCATGGTGTCTGGCATTATAGTAGGTGTCCAATTAATGTTTGTTGGATGTCAAACAAAGTACTAGGTACCAGTTCCAATGGGGAAGACTGGGGGAAGAACCTGAAACGTGGCTACTGGAGCAGCCCCTTAAGCTCCCGCCAGGAGGGGATCTCCATGCTAAGCAGAGTCTCCTCCTTAACCACTTGCTCACCACATAGGACAGCAGCCCCAATTCCCCCACCCCTCTACCAGCATACCTCTCCTCAAAGGTGACTAGCACCTGGTGGTACCTTGTCCTCAATCCCTCCTCCTCAAAACAAAAAACCCAGCCATACCTCGTTTCCAAGTCTTTCAACCGGACCTCTCTCTTCCCACCCACCACCAAACTGTACGGGGAAAACACCGCTACTGCGTGGTCGAAAGTCAGTTCCCCACTCCCACCCTCCCAGCTCAGGAATCTGTATTCCAGCACTCTTTTACGGTTGCGCCCACACTCAACCCCACCTTCACCAGACCTCGGATTGGCCGCTCCTTCCACCCCACCGCCCTGGCACTGCAGAGATGGGGGCATCTCTGGCACAGCCTGAGACTGGCAGTTCGAGGAATGGAGAGCTAGCAATATTAAGAACGGGTGATATGAGCAACGTGGAAAGGAATAAGGCCCCCGGGAAGAGCGAAGACCTCAGTACCTCTTGTGCCAAAGGAGCGGAGCTGGCCCAGGCTCTTCTTCTCTGACTCTCCTGGAAGGGAAATGGGGGCGCAGTCCATCCAGTTCCCACCGGGAGAGTTGCCAACTCAGCTCCCCCCCCCCCCCCGCTTGTGGCGCAAAGGGGGAACCCCCCCCCCCCCCCTTACACTGCAACACCGCCCCCCCCCCCCATTCTCACCTCCAAGGGCACAGGGCACTGCAAAGGCTGGTGAGGGGCGGCAGAAGCAGCAGTAGCGAAGTCTAAAGGAGACGACACATTTGAGTAAAAAGGTGCTGTTTCCCCAGAACCGCTAGACTGAGACCCCCTCCCCAAACTGTGAGGGGAGCTGAAAGTGGGAAAAAGAGGCATCCTTCCCCAACCCGGGCTCTGGACGCTCACCTGCCTGCAATCACTGAAGGCCGGGCAGCTCGTATCCGAGCAAGAAGCCACCCCGGACCCCGGGAGCCCGACGCGTCCTAGGGAGCCGAGCAGGCGCGGACGTAGCTGCAGCCTCCACCAGCGCCGTGGCGCCCCTCCTCAGGGTCCTACCCCCTCCTTCTGCTGACAGTCCCTGGCCCCACCTCAAGGGCGGGGCCTGACCGACTCCCTCGAAGCCACGCCTCCGCCCCGGCACTCCCTCACACGTGACACAGGAGCCTCTTTGATGCTGCGCGCCATCTTGGTTCTGCCCGGAGAGTCCTTTACGAGGTGGCGGAGAGCCGAGGTTTTTACCCAACGCCAGTAAAGTTTCAGAGCCCAGCGGAGTCCTGGCTCCTTCCCAGTGAGGTGCAGCACATATCCCTTTGAACTTACCTTTGTCTCTAACCACCTGCTCTCTAAATTGGCCTCAGTACTGGCCTTGTAATTGTTTGCCAATGGTTCGTCACCTTTCTCTTGCGCCCATTTACTACTTTTACTCTGGTTGTACCCATTTTGTAAGTGGAGAAACCTAATCCAGATACATTTCCCTAGGGTGCACTTCAGTGAATTGTGTCGCTTGCCTGAATTCAGGTATTTGGCTGTGCTAACACTTACTATAAAATGAAATGTTTGTCTATTATATATACATAGTATGAAGACAGTCTCAATGCCAAAATTCCTGACAAATTTTGGTTAAATCTGTACATTTTCTTGAATTGCTCCTTACCCTGTCACCTGTGGCTATTAATGCATCTTTCCCATCTGGTTTGTGAAGTATCATCACAGTGCTTACTCAATCCTTTACAATACCCAGTACACACTGCTACAAGTGTGAAAGATTTTTATATACATGCCATGTGTACAGACTTATACACACACATGTTCTATATCAGCAACAAATGCTGTAGTTGAGATCAGTGGCACATATAACCATTAATTAATTAATATTTTTCTTTCCTGCAATATATTCACCTTTTGGCTTAGTTTCCTTGTATCTTTGGTAGAAGGCAGGAAAATCTGAGTAATTCTGATTTATTTGAGGGGTAAGAAATGAAGGTAAGTATTTTGTCTGACCCTTAGAGCAAAATCAAGGTACATATTTAAGGAAGTGACAAGTACAAAGCAGTTTTTACAAAAGCAGTTCAGAAAGTTCCAACTCTTCTCCAGGTAGTTTCAGGTTCTCATCAAAGGGAAATCCCTGAGACACTTCATATCCTTTCACTAATGAATCAGGAATCATCCTAGAAAAGGCAACTCAGTCAGTGCAGAGGGAAGGCTGAAGCCATGATAACCTTTGATAACATACTCTACCAAGTGTTTGTCAATATTACACTAAGAGAACAGCTGAGGCAATATGATCATACCATGGAGTTTCATACAAAAACTAGGAAGATCAGTCAGAACACAATTATTAAGCCAAATTTATTTCACTCCCCTTCTAAAAGTAACTCCTAAATGGGGGACACAAAATCCACCAGGACAACTCCCTTCTGCTCCATGGCATCTTTAATTCAGGGAACTAGGGACTGTGTGCTTCTCTCCTCTTGCCTCAAAGAGGCAACTTCTGATTGTAGAGATGGTGCATATTGTTCAGGGGTTTTTTGTTTTTATCATTTAACTGCCCAAATTCTGGTTTTCACTGACCCAGGCTCACTTTCTGTGTGAACAGCTTTAGTACCACCCTCAGTGCAGGGTAAGGTTAGCTGTTAGCAGCTGTATTAAGCAGGTGCTTCCTAAGAATATTCTTTAAATAGCAGGGGGTAGGGAATAGTAAGGAAAAAACAACACACTAATTTAGCAGTCAAGCTCATGATAATAACTACCCCCATGAGATTTTCATGTTTAAAGAATATGGTCGTAATGCCACCTCTAGCTAATATCCAGCTCCCTAGCTAATTTGGGTGGGGGGCAGGTGGGAGGAGACAAGCAGCAAACTTATCTTGTTAGCAGAAACAAAACAAAAACATGATCCTCTTCTCAGAGTACACAAGCTATACCAAGTCCTCTCACCAAGAGGACATGAGCATTTCTGCAGGGATAAAAGGCCAAGCTCTCATAGGCAGCACAGGGCAGAGCAGAGCAAAGGAGTCACTAAATTCTTATAGTGCAGGAGTCTGGTTTCAATATGAGAATGCAATTTTTTAATGACCTTCATAATAAATGCCCTTCTAACAATTCAATGAAAATATCACTATCCTTCCTGCAATAACTGTCTTGATTTGTTTTACATTTTACTTGGAAACACATATTTAAAAGATTCTTTCATCAATCTTATATAACTTTTAGGCTGATTAGGGATAAGGTATACCACAATCAACTTTTTACTCACCCTTTTACTCTTTCTATCTATGTACACTCTGCCTGCTCCCCTGTGCCACCATCTACCACAAGAATAATGAGACTGACCTTTTAAATTGTGGCACAGCAAAAGGACCTGGGTCAGGATTCTGGCTCTGCCACTTATTGGATAGTATGGCCTTGGGTTAGTCACTGATTCAGCTTTTTCAGCCAGAGAATGGGAATAGTATCACCTACCTTGCAGGATTGTGAGAACTAGAGATATTATGAAAAGTTCCTAGTGTAGCACAAAATCATTATCATTACTATCAGCTTCATGCAAAAAAAAAAAATACCTAAAATCCAAAACTGGCAAAAAAATATTTATGTGACAAATATTTTTAAAGAAAGATACACAAGTCAACCTCATAAGTTTATGAAAACCCTGTCACCTGCTTTATTTCTAGAGAGGGGTAAAGGGAGAAGAGGAAATATTCACTTGAATTTGAGGGGCAGCTAAATTGAAAGCAACAGTAGCAACAATTTTAAGCCTCTAAGGTTACTCTGATCCATAAGGGAATGCTGAAATTTCCTTGTCTGGAGATTTAAGAGTTTAATTTTCCCCTAAAGCGAGATCATCCACTCTGGCTGGGATAAAAGAATAAAGAACAAACTCAGTAGCACCAAATGGGGTTTAACACAGAAAATAGGGCCAGGTTTCACCTTTCAAATGCAAAATTTTACATTAAAATATGTTTATAAATCATAATGTTTTTACTCCTGATTCAATCCTTCTCCTTCCCCTAGAAGGAGCCCCAGAAACCTGAAGAGCATGTGCATTACTGACCAGATATACAATCAGCTGCCCCTTCCAAACTGGAATCTGATTACAAATGGACTGGCCTAGCTCAGGGCTGCCCTCAGTGACGGGAAGCAGTATCTATGCTCTCAGGGAGAATGGATACTGAGGATGCCACCAGTCAAAAAGTCGAATGCTGTGCACTGGGTCCAGGATGACTTGCACACCCTGTTCACTGCGCAGTTTCCGACCTCCATGGACAGGAGAATCTTGGAACACCAGTCTCACTCGATGATGCCGCATGTCCGTGCTCACATTGATAGTAAACTGGGAGGGAAAAATAAATTCAGTACTCAAATTAAACAACCTTGTTTTCCTATGACTCACTCTAAAATGAGACAATCTAGAAAACTGACATGAACTAGGCCACAAAATAATCTCTAAGTTATACCAACAGCACTATACTATCTTTTTTTGCAAAGATATTAAAAATTAAGGGTGATTTTTATAAGTTTTTCTTAGCTTCATATATTTAAACTGTGCTAAAGAAAGCCTCTCAAATGGCTGAACAAATTAGGACACATGCACATAGACTACCTTAATGACAATTTTTAAAAACTGGATTAGAGCTATAAGAGATGACTTGAAGGGATTCTGATGAGATATTATTGAGCAAGTTAAGCAAGATGCATGAAACTGATCTGATCACATTGTTTTGGAAAATAAACCACAAAATCTCTAAATGTTTATGTATACGTAAATCTGTATAGAATTCTAAGAGTAGGAAGTATATGGAGTATAAGTATATAAATAAGTCATTAATGTGGCTTAATGAGAGATGCCTACAATAAAAACAGATATATGACATAATCTCAATTATACAAAATTATTTAAGAGAGTGGGTATATACATGTATTGAATATACATTAACAGATACATTAAAGAATAGTTCCCCAAAAGTTAACTGCAGTTATAGGATAGCGGAAGTCTAAGTCACCTTCACTGTTCTCAACGTGTTTGTGTATTATTTAAATTCTTCACATGAAGTATGAATTATTTATTTTACCATTAAAAAAAGAATAATGCTATTTTCAATGTGGAGGGGGAAACATATCTCTGAACATAAGCTTAAAATACAGAGAAGATAAATTACATGAACTCTCCAGTTGCCAATCCAGTTAAAAATGTTAAAAACACGGAAAATACACCAGAAGCATATTTGTTGTTTACTAATCTAATTCTTAGCTAAAATCTAATTCTTAGCTAAACCTTGAATAGTCAGAGCATCACACAAAAGACAGAGCTGGTAACCCTACATTTTAATATTCCATTTATGATACCACACGCATGCCTCAGGTCCTGACATACAGTGTTCATGTATAAGCTTCTTCATTAACCTTAACGGGATAATGTTTCTCAAACATTAATGAGCACTACACAGGAGATGCAAAAACATTCTGTTCACTATAGAGAAGGAAACAGAAGTAAAATATTCTCAGACATAATTAACTTCACAAATATGTCTGTTCCTAGTATACAAGTCTGCTTTCAGATTTTGTTTAAAATTATTCTTCAAAGATTTCTTCCTCAATGGTTAAATTTACAAATTTCTTTCAAACCCTAAGTATAGTGAGTCTATGAAAGAGCTGAGGATGACATCCTGTCTCCACTTACCAGGGTAAATATCATTCCCATGACAATTGGAATAAAGATGAAATTGAGGGTGGTGACCTGCAGTAGGCAGCAGTCCTGGTCTGGGTTGGTATGAACATCTTCGTACTGAATGGGAGGCTGCAATCCTCCCATACACTTGCTCTTTAATCTAGGGGACTGAAGAGAATTAAGAATTACTCTAATGGGTTAGAGAAAATGTTTATGGCTCTAAGACTCCACCAATGAAAATGGTATGGCTTAACTAAAGCTGCTGAGATCCATTTTTCTGTTATCTCTTCTCTCTTTAATATACATATCAGTTTCTATACAGATCAAGGAAAATCTGACCTTTGAAAGACATGGAAACACATTTGGATGAGAAATGTGACAGTGGGTGCTTCATTTAGATGGTGTTTCCTACCATCTGGCAAGACATGGAAACTTATAGCTCTATCAGAGGCCCTCCAATGTTTGAGAGATCACAAATTCCTTGTGACTTGTCAGACTCCAAAGAACATCTGCTGCACAAAAAGGGATGGAAGCAGAAGTGGCCATCTAATTCCAGGCATCATAAAACAAGAGTCACAACTCTCAGAGCTAGAGGAAATCTTAGCATTCACTTTCCTGCAGCAGCTCTGGTCTTAGCTTGTATACACTGTGAAGATTGCCCCTCAGTTCCCTCCCAAAAAGCTGCTATGGTGGACTCTCTACCAACATCTAATGGATATCATAGATTGTGGACATCTTATTAAAAGCAAATGATCAGAGCCAAAGTTCATCCCTAGAACCGTGTTTTTGAAAAATCAATGTAAAAATATGATTTACTTTAAATACAAACTTATCTGGAACACACTTGTCATCAAGTGAGGGATAACTGTAATTCTATTTGTAATGTGTCACCTCAGTGAGATACTAAGTATGGGAGACAGCTGGAGGAAATGAGGCTGCTGAGGACAAGAAGTAAAGACATGCAGAAGAGATCCTCACTGTAGCCAAGATCTCAGGTACAGTCCAAGAAAAAGGCAGAGATAAAGGTGCAATAGTATCTACTCTTCTTATAGACTCTTGGCAGTCCCTCTCCCCATGGCTTGCCCAAACTGCCTCAGATATAAAACCATATGAAGTATTGTTGTTTACAAATACATTTGCTTTGAAAAACAAAAAAATTCTTAGTCAAATAACCTCAGTACATTGTTATAACAAGTTTTTCCCTTTTCCCCACTTTTAAAGTCTTCAAATATATAGAAAAGTTAACAAAACCATGCAATAAACTCCTGTATACCCTTTACCACTGGATATTTTGCCACGTTTGTTTTCTCTCTCCCTCACCTCTCATTTTATATATATTCACATATTAAGAAAAAAAAACACATGAACTCTTGGGGTAGGGGAAGCAAAGCCATTTGAAAGTAACACTGGCATTCCACCCTTATTCAACATGAATAAAGATACATATATAATCTCAGTAACATGATCACACCTAAGAAAATTAACAATAATTTCATATAATCTAATATCCAGGGCATACTCAAATTTCTTTAATTGTACCAAAAATGTCTTTTATTGCTCTTTGTTCATTAATCCAGGATCCACTCAAGGTTTACTCTTTGCATTAAGCTATTAAATCTTTGTGCCTCTTTCACACAAAACAGTTCTTTCTTTCATTTTTATGACATTATATGTTTTAATGTGTATTATCTGATTTTAATGAGGCAATTTTATGTCTAGTAAAATTAGAGTAAGATATTACCTGACAAGCAAAGAGATGATAAAAGCACACACCTGCTTTTTGAACTTGAAGTTGAATTCCCACATTGGCTCCTGTCTGTTCCCAACAATCTTTCTGCACCAGAAAAGTAAGCACTGTAAGAAAATAAAAATAACCTTTCTGTTTGCTAGCTCTAAAGCCAGCCACGGTCCCAATGCTGAGATTTTACTTTGGCACGGATAGAAACCCCCACCTCCCCCGCACCACCACTACAATTTGACACTGGTGCAACATGAAAAGAGACAATCCCAAGGCTATTCAGTAAAGAGAAGAGGTACCAATATACGTCAACCTCAGATGCTATTGAGGTCAACCCCTATTGTTCTCATCTTTAAAGACAGAAACATGGTCTCTAGAGACTGGGGCATTATCTGATTCAGCAGGCCACTCCTCTATATTAAAATATAAGGGCAGCCAGTAGCCACCAGACAAGATGATAACAAAGCCATAAGGCAGGCAGAGACAGCCAGCCCTGTACGTAATAGGAGCAAACCACTCAGGACCTTCTGGGAGCAGACAGCCGGTATGGAAACTACAGAGGTGAGCTGAATTCAGTCTAGAGTAAGCCCCTCGAGGAAAGTCAGGCTACAGCTAGGGTTAACACAAGAAGTTAAGTACCTCCCAGGGGATAAGGGGTGGGTCGTCCGCCGTGCCAGCTGTCCTGCCCTTCAGACATGCCCTGTAGGTCCTGCTGTTCCATCAAAAATAATGGGCTTGGCTTTAAGGGGCAAACACTTCTGCTGCCAACACAACGGCTCCAGTGTCCCACACAAGCTATGCTACTGAAAAGAGAGAGAGGGAGAATCAAATACGAAAAGGTGGAGTCCAGGAACATGGGACAACTTCCCTTAGGCATGCTGGCAACTTCCTGAATGCCATGCGATGTGGTTATACTAGCAAGGCCATGCATGGGACACCTGCCACTGCAGGTCCCACATCCTCTTCAGAAGATCTCTAACAACAGGTACAAAAGCAGCAGACAGGTGGCCTAGCCTTCCTGTCTGGATTAAGACCTTAGTTATCACCACCTTGATTTTAGCCACTTAAAAGTCACTTTTTTAGTCCACTTAAAAAACTTAATATACAATTATAAGAATATGAAGACATGGGTATTTTAGATTTAGGCAGTAGCACTTGCATTGTGCACTGGAGCCGCGAGGATGTGTCAAGCATGAGGAGTTTGCCCAATGCTGCTCTGCTCCCAACAACTGATTCACCCCTAGCATGGTTAGCTTTGGGATGATCCCCACCTCACCTGACAAGATCAAATGTTTTTTGGGGGAGAAAAACTATAAATGTGAAATGATACACTGTCCACTCATATTACAAGGAGAAGGAATGAAATTCTACTCACCCAGCATTATAATCCTGCCCTAAATCCATCAGCTAGTGTGACATTAGCTGATGTCAGCCAATGGCCCTGACCACCTCAGTTTGCAACCCTGGGGGGAACCATGATGATCTTGAATCAACAGTACCCTTTTAATCAATATGTATCAGGTAGAATGTTATCACACTAGAGCTGAACTAGGGGAAAAGAATCATTATGTAACATCCAAAGCATAAAAACAAAACAGAGGAGAATAGGAAGTGCCATAGAACACCAGACTTTGGGTAGGAACAGAGTAATAAAAATTATTAACAAACGCAAAAGATACAAAATTTAGACAATAGTATTAGTTGAATGAGAAAAAGGCCGAGACATCAACTTGCCTAAACAATCATATATGCTATACTAGTCTAGCTTGGCAAAGATGTGTTCACTAGATATTTCATTATGGCAAAAAAAAGGAGAGAATGGACCAAAGGCTTATAGACCTACTTACAAATCAGAAGAATGCTAGAACCTTGAATACAATGTACAAATATAAACTACTGGGGAAATTCCAAGATATAAGGAATGGCCTAGAACACAGTAAGAATTTTAGAGGGCTAAAGTCTATGAGTGGAAGTACCTTATAGTCTCTGAAACAACCCACCCCTGAGCCTGGCAATAGTGGGCACTTTGCAAATGCTGAAGAAGTCCACACCAGAATCTTTTAAGGTTAACAAGAAAGTGGAAATCCAGATGTCAAGGTCACATTAGAAAAAGAAAATTAGTAAGTTGTTTTATATCTTTGTATCATGATTTAAAGCACCTTTTAAGAATTATAGTTTACATCTACCATTTGAGTTGTGTTCTTCCTAGCCCAAACCATCAAACCATCTAAACCATCTAAAGTGGCCCAATGTATAAGGCATGAAGATAAATTAAAATAAAGAGAATAAGGAATATGCTAAAAGCACAAGAAAGCTTTAAGGTAAAGATAACATGAGCCAACCCAGCACAGCAGGAATGTCTTGGAGAAGAGATACCCATGAGCTCTGAAAGTTTACATTAGTCCCTTAGCAGCCTGGTACCTATGGCCCTAGACCACCCCATCAAGGAAGCTGGAAACAAGCCATGATAACAGGCCCATTATACAAGAGTCCATTTGTTAAACCCCAACACTAATTGTCACTTACTTTGGAATTCTTTAATGTGCTAGGAGTGCTTTCTGGAATGGCTGGATTCTTGGAGATTCGAGCAGCAAATGGCTCATACATATGGTACAGAGATCGGATCACACATGCCCGGAGACAGCGCAGCTTCTCCATTGACTCTGGTCGCAGGCGCAAAGGCAGAGAGGCATCCAGCGTGTAGTGCCTAAAACATGACACATTACTCCTACCAATAAGTGACCTCTCTCTTCTGCTCTAGGCCAGTCTCCTAGGACTCCTAGGCTCAGTACAAATTTTACTATACTATTCCACTGGCCAGTAGTTAGTTTTTCCCTAGTGCTCTCACATACACACACACAAATCACTATCTCCTTCACTTCTTAGCTACTTTTGCGTCTCTTCTATGCAAAACCCAATATACCTTGTAATCCTGCACTCCTCTATTCATTTAAAAATTTTAAATCCTCACTATTTCACTTTAAAAAAGGGGCAAGTCTCTGACTTTATACCAGTACAATATACTTCAGCTGCTCAAAAAGAACCTGCACTGGGGAAGATCCACCAAGTTCTCTTGTCACATGTCTCAGAAAGTTCTCTACTCCCTGATACCTCACCATCCCCTTCCACCACATTCTTACTGACGATTTATAATCTTCACTACACTTCTAACCCTGCATCAAAAGTCAGCCCTCTTACTAATCACATCATTCACTCCCTCTTCACCACTACAACTATACACAGAGCAGCATAACTACAAAGACTATATGATACTTCAAGATGACTAGCAGATCTAAGAAACAACAAATCCAGTTGCAAAGATAAACAGATGGGCATCTATAACTTCTGAAAATTCTAGCTAAGATAAACCGCTGAAGAAAAGTGGGTAACCATAGGGAAGACAATTACCAGATGAATTAATAATATCAATTTTAAATTAAAGAGGAGCTCAAGGAATTCAAAGCTAGGTTCATGCCCAGGCATGCAGTAGAGAAAGTGAAAAGAGGTCACCATCCAGAGAGTAGCTCCAAATCAAAAACAACAAGAAATAAGCTACACAGATAACACAGTGAGCTCTCTGTGGTCGCACCTTCGGTACAACCTGGTCCAAAAGGCAGCAGTGCAAGTGACAGTCCAGGCATTCTTACAAATCAGGGAAAAATTCACAATGTCCTCAGGACGGATATAGGAGGCCAGTAAGAGCCAAATATCCATGGGATACTCTTCTCCTCCAGCCCCATCCAGATCTTCTGAAACAGAAAAAAGAACTATTAACTTTTGACCTTCTATTATATGCACATATAAAGATCCCCAATCATTTCAATTCTCCCAGGGCTTGCACAGTTAAGAAAATGGTTTAAATAGGTCCAAGGAAGCCTCTCAAACTCATCATTTCCTGCTTATTCTAGCTGCTGAAAACTTTTGTTTCCTGTTGCCCAAGTGAATAGGTCTTGTTCTTAAGGCCTTTATTTAACCACTATTTACATACTATTTTGAAGTTTTCAAAGTACCTTTGCATACATTATATCATTCAACTATAATAATTTTTCAGTGGAAATAAGGAAAATATTATTGTGTCCATTTTACTGTAAGAAAACAGAACGTTGCACGTATTCAAGGTAAACAGAACCCAGTTTTCTCCCAAGTCCAGCTTTTCACTATAAATTCTGCCCTTGATTTCCCTTGCAGTCCCCATCCACCAAACATTTTCTTCAATTCAGTCATTTAAAAAATAAAACTGATTTTAAGATGGTATGAGGAAACCTCAAAGTACAAACTAAATTTAAAAAACCAAGTAAGTTACAGTGTACTTTCATTACTCAGTAATTGCCTTAGATATGTGTCTTCTGGTTTCTTCTTGTTTCATTGTCAGCTTGATCTACAATTCTGGCCACAAGCATCCAGTATTCAAGGATACCCTGTGATGATGTATCCCCACCTCTTCCTCCTTCAGACCTCATTAGGGTTAATTCTCTTGACCCTGAGGTCCACTGTACATGTCAGGTTCAAATAAAAATTCACACTCCACAGAGATACCAGAATCTGGGCTAACCATAATCTTTAATTGAGACTTAGTTATATAGCTATCCAAAACACAGCTTTTTTCTTTCTGTTTCCTGAGCAAAAAGCCCCTACAACTACCTCCCTGAAGCTGCCTCTGCTTTTCTAGCTGCTTCCTGTAGCTCTATGACTCAATCAGGTTCTTGCATTAGGTTCTTCATAACAGAGACCAATGCTTCTAAAACAACATCGTCTTTTTTGGTTCTTATGCTTCTTGAAATCTCCAGTAACCATTTAAGGCTCAGCCTACCACATTTGGGGCCCCCTTCTCCCACATTAAATCTCTCTCTAAAAGAGAAGGCAAACAACTATCAGAATTTCCTCCACTGAGACCCATGAGGACTTTCACAAAGCAGAGTACTATTAAAAATTTTCTGTTCTTAGGGACAAAACTCAGTAATTATAAAAATTGCCAATGTTTTACACACAATTATTAAGAAATTTCAAAACGTAGGAAATGGAATCAGTAAAGGAAAGCTTCATGGAGATAAGTTATGAAGGACAAAAAATTTGATATTCATAGGTTAAGGGGAAAAGTATTCCAAGTGAAATAAACAGCTAACATGAAGCCTGGATATTTAAAAAAACAAAACACATGTGAGGGCAATAAAGAGACAAGTCTAACAAGATTTTGATGATATTAAGAAATTACTGTTGGGCTTCCTTGGTGGCACAGTGGTTAAGAATCCACCTGCCAATACAGGCCACACGGGTTTGAGCCCTGGTCCGGGAAGATCCCACATGCCGCAGAGCAACTAAGCACGTGTGCCACAACTACTGAGCCTGTGCTCTAGAGCCTACAAGCCACAGCTACCGAACCCGCGTGCCACAACTACTGAAGCCAGCACGCCTAGAGCCCATGCTCCTCAACAAGAGAGGCCACCACAGTGAGAAGCCTGCGCACCTCAATGAAGTATAGCCCCCACTTGCTGCAACTAGAGAAAGCCCACGCGCAGCAACGAAGACCCAACACAGCCAAAAATAAATAAATAAATTTTAAAAATAATAATAAAGTAGCTTTAAAAAAAAAAGAAATTACTAACTTTTTTAGATGTGATAATTTTTTTAAGAGCATTTATCTTTTGGTGATAACTACCAGAATATTTACAGATATAAAAATGGAATATTGGAAATTGTTTCAAAATAATCAAGTGTGTATAGTGTGTGTGTGTGTGTGTGTGTGTGTGTGTGTGTGGAGGTGGGGGTGAGGGGGTAGTGGCTGAAACAAAAGTGACCATGAGTTGATTGATAACTGAAGCTATGTAATAGCCACACTGGATTCATTACACTATTCTCTCTTCTTTTGTATATGTTTCATTTTTAAAAAGCTAAAAGAGGGGGAAAAAAAAGACCAGTTTGATGAGAATGAAGGACCCTAATGGGGGTAAAGTGCAGCAAGGAAGTAAAAGATGAATTATAGCTAAGAGTTTGTAAACCACAAATCATGTATCTGATAAGTGACTGGTCTCCTGAATACATAAAAATTCTTACAACTCAGTAATAAAAAGATAACCTAATGTAAAAATGAGTGAAGAATTTGAATAGACATTTCTCCAAAGAAGATACACAAAAGGCCAATAAGCACATAAAAGACGCTCAACATCATTAGCATGCAAATCAAAACCATGAGATACCACTTCACATCAACTAGAATGCCTATAGTTTAAAAAGTTAGACAATAACAAGTGTTGAGGAGGATGTGGAGAAACTGTAACTCTCATTCATTGCTGGTGGGAATATAAAATGGAAACTTCATAAAAAACTTGGCAGTTCCGCAAAAAGTTAAACATAGTTACCATGTGATCCAGCAATTTCACTCCTACCTGACAAAAATGAAAATATATGTTCACACAAAAACTTGTCCATGAGTTTTCATAGTAGCATTTATGACAGTCAAATAAAAAGCAATAAAAAGGAATAAAGTACTGATATATGCTACAATATGGATGAACCTTGAAAACATTATGTTAAGTCAAAGAAGCCAGACGCAAAAGACCACATATTATATGATTTTGTTTATATGAAATGCCCGGAATAGGCAAATCTATAAGGACAGAAAGTAGATTGGTGGTTGCCTGGGGGAAGGGATGGGTGGGAGAGAGTGTTGGGAGAGAATGAGGAATGATACTAATAGATTTGAGTTGATAGAAATGTTCTAAACTTAGATCATGTTGATGGCTACACAACTCTCTTGCACTGCCGCTGGGAATGTGAATTGGTACAGCCACTATGGAGAACAGTATGGAGATTCCTTAAAAAACTACAAACAGAACTACCATATGACCCAGCAATCCCACCACTGGGCATATACCCTGAGAAAACCATAATTCAAAAAGAGTCATGTACCAAAATGTTCATTGCAGCTCTATTTACAATAGCCAGGAGATGGAAGCAACCTAAGTGTCCATCATTGGATGAATGGATAAAGATGTTGTGGCACATATATACAATGGAATATTACTCAGCCATAAAAAGAAATGAAATTGAGTTATTTGTAGTGAGGTGGATGGACCTAGAGTCTGTCATACAGAGTGAAGTAAGTCAGAAAGAGAAAGACAAATACCGTATGCTAACATATATGGAATCTAAGGAAAAAAAAATGTCATGAAGAACCTAGGGGTAAGACGGGAATAAAGACACAGACCTACTAGAGAATGGACTTGACGATGTAGGGAGGGGGAAGGGTAAGCTGTGACAAAGTGAGAGAGTGGCATGGACATATATACACTACCAAACGTAAAATAGATAGCTAGTGGGAAGCAGCCGCATAGCACAGGGAGATCAGCTCGGGTGCTTTGTGACCACCTAGAGGGGTGAGACAGGGAGGGTGGGAGGGAGGGAGACGCAAGAGGGAAGAGAGATGGGAACATATGTATATATATAACTGATTCACCATTGTAAAGCAATTATACGCCAATAAAGATGTTAAAAAAAAAAACTCTGAGAACATACTAAAACTACTGCATTGTACACTTTAAAGAGATGAATTTTATCTCAATAAAGATGTTTTAAAAGTCTGTAAGCTCTTCTGTGGAATGTGCTCAAAACCAAAAAGGAAAATCAAGAGAAATATCTAATACAATGGTGATGATGAGTAGGGATTTAAAGCAAGAAATTAAGGAACAAAGAAGTGTGAGGAATGTCTATTAACATTCTTGGTTCCGGAAAAGAGCGGTATCACTGACAATAATTGGTATAACTTCAAAGCAAAGTCAGTTCATTAATTTATTGATTATTTCAATATATTTTAACATATGCAAAAGTCTGTCATCTGATTCTCAAGTATAGGTGAAAGTTCTCACAGATCTGAGACCAAAAATACACATATCATTTATTACATTAGTTTCCTCCTAACTCTAGCTGATCATCAGAACCACTTTAGCTTTAAGAATTCTGGGCTCTACCCCAAGAGTCTGATTCCTTAAGTCTGGAGCAAACCAGTGAATGATGCATTGGCACATTGTATACCATTAGTTTACCTTTCTTTGTTTCATTTGTGTAAGTTTTATTGCCACTAATACATAAACACCACACATTTTTCTATTTCCTACAGTACCTACTAGACACAAAGCAGGCATTAACAATTGCAGAGCACTTAAAAGTCCACGATAATAATCTAACTTTCGCTGAAATGAAATTGGTTATATACAATCCACATATTTGGGAGAGAGAACATTTTTGTCACAACTCTGCTTCCTTACACATTCAGAAATGCAGAAATGCAAAGGCTTTTTGTTTTCCTGTTGCTAGATGGATTTTACCTGATAATGATATGTTCTCAATGAATGGCTACTACTGTTACCAATCTCCTTTCCTCTCAACTTTAGATATAAGTAGAAAGCCCTGGTATATTGAAGTCCTGTCCCACTAGAAAGATCCAAACTCTGGTTCTCCACTGGTATCATCTCTTGTGCTACTGAGAAAGTGACAGCTTCAAGTTATCACCACAGATAGGACTAATAATCCAAAAGAGAGTGAGCCCTGTACCTTTGTGCCTCTTGCTTTTCTTTTTTCTGGAGGCAGTTCTCTCATGGATGCTTTCCTCCTGGGCATCAATCTCATCACTGCTGTCAATGATGTCACAGGGCTCACCAGCCCCAGAGAAAGCTTCTACTGCAGGAACCTGGGAGGCTTCCAAGCCACAAAGAGATTTTACTAGAAGAAAATAAGAAGAGAATGAGATGGCAGAGTACCATGGCTTAGGCAGGATATCAGCATCCATAAGGAAAAAAGAAAACAAAAGCAAAAGCTGTGTGAGAGTCTGCTAAAGGAAGCTGAGAATCTTAAAAAAAAAAAAAAAAATAGCATTTTAAATACAAAAAATTGGAAAGTAATGAGCAAACTGACTCCAAAGTTGCAGAAACTGCTTCAGACCTGAAGAAAAAGGGAGTGAATTATTCTCCACTATAAACCCTTCAGGGTAAAAGCAAAAGGTGAATGCTATTTTCATTTGCATAAATTCTGAGGAGCAGTGTTTGAGAGGAATTAAACCCAATTTAACCTTATTCCTGGGCTGGAGATAGTACATATCATGCAAACACAAGCTTCAAGGACCCCTGAGTAAGAAGTTTGAAAGTAAGAGAAGCATGAGAAAAGGAAAAGAATAGTTCAAGGTTATTACACAAAGAAGCAAACAGCAGAGTTAAGTGGAGAATATATGTGAACAACAGGAATAAGATTAATAACCAGGAAGAAAGCAGTGGAAACCAAAGAAGAGTACGCAAAGTTTTTTGTTTGTTTGTTTATGGGAAGACAGAAATAAAATATTTCTGCTACAGAAACTGCTACTGCTCTTGACTAATCCTTCCCCTCCGCCTGAATATATGAGTAACCATCGAGGAGAGCAAGCATGTTTACGGGAAGATGCCTAAAGGATTGCAAGAAAAACACTGAGGCAGAATCCCAGGAAAATAAAGCACCTAGTTCACTCTTCACTGAGTCTGAAAAGACTCGTCGGAAGCCTACCTTCCTGCTGAACAGCATTGGCGACGGCTTTCTTGACCCTTCCAGACCTCACGACGGCCGGATCCGAGTTGGCATAATCCGCCACAGTCACTGAAACACAGCACCAAACCTCAAAGGAGGAGGCCTTCTCTCCTCAGCTTCCTCCCCACCAAGATTTCCTGCTCACTCCAAGTCCCCAGTCCAGCCGCCCTCCCGTCGCAGGCAGGCGAGCACTCGCCTCGGTGCTGTCCAGCCCCCTCCCTGCTTCCAGCCCCAAGCCTTTCAACGCCCCCGCCCTCGCCCACCTCGCCCAGAGCAGGCGTCTTGGGCCCGGAACTTGAGTCGCTTTCCTCTCTTGGGCATGGCGACTGTGTCGGGGCGAGGCCGGGTTAGCGGGCCAGGACCCCGGGCCATGTTTCAGGCCAGAGAGCGGGAAGCAGGAGCCAAAGGCCAGCTCTGCCCGGCTCCGCGGCCATTCCGCTCCAGGACCGCAGCTCTCGCGAGGCTTAGGACAGGGCTCCGCGTCGCACTGGCGACCAACCCCCCTCTTCAGAAACCAATCACCACCTGGTCTAGGCAGTACGTCATCATCCAGCGCCTAAGGATCAACCTGCGTCTGGTTCCCTAAGGGTAGCTGGTGGTTCTGGGCAGTGTGGGGTTTTTATATCATACGTCTTGTAAGGTGATTTGGTGTCTTAGACCCGAAACCCACAACCCCGTTGATTAGAACTGAGTTTACATTATGGTCTCCCCGATTTTTCTGCTACTGCCTCTGTCCACACTCCAGGTTCACTTCAGTATCCCCAAAGCACATCTATTGTCATCTTCGTGCTCCATCTCTCAGGCCACGTAGACATAGTCCAACATGGGTCTAAAAGAGTCTTAACTCTAATTTCTTATACAAAAGCTGTAAATTTCTGAATCCCAAAGCTGGGGGAGGGGTTCTTAAAAGTTTATTAATTTACCACCATACTCCAAACTTAATACTAGAAGGATCAATGAGGAAAGAATGGTGTCTTTGCTTTGTATTGAGAGAAAAAACCGAGCGAAGGTTACAGAACTGTGAGGGAGCAGGATCCTGGTCTAGTATCACCAGTACGAATAAGTTATTGTGTGTCCTAAGTTAGGTTCTTTGTCCTTCTAAGTTCTTTGCAGCTCCCAAAAGGTGCTAATCCCTGGCTTGAGAAGCATGGTACTTAGGGACCAGGAATCCAAACTGTTGGACCCACCAGACAGTGCCACCCTAACATATTTAGAAGCAGACTTCTGTTTTTAATTACTTAATACATAGACATTCATTAGGCGCAAACCACTGGCCTTTTACTAACATCGTGTAACAGACTATCACTAGAGATGGTGCTAATAGGGTTGAATCAATTAGGAATTGTAATTGAAACTGAGTAATTGATTATAGTCGCGAACTATTCAAATTTATCTAAAGTTATAACATGAACAAGGGTCTAATAGACTGAACTAAAAGAAAATTGTTTCAAATAATTTTTCCATGATTGATGTTTGTAGTCAAAACACAGCTGGTAAAGCACCAAGCCTTCTCACTTCACAACATTAATAAAAAGTTCATAACGCCCACATGCAAGTATATTTCTGCTAATGTGATACCCTGTTGAAAACACCGAGACATTGAGACTCTGGAGGAAATCAAAGTGCAAAAGAAATAAACCCTATTTTTATGCCGTCACTATCGGAGACTTAAAGGTTTTAACTGAAACATTCATTTTCAACCATATAATTACTATTTTAATTCATTGGAATGAAAGAAGTGCTAACCCCAAAACTGTTTATCTTTCAAATTTCAAGAATATGAAGATCTAAAGCAAAGCTCCTCTTAAGTCCTTTGGCCACATTAATGGAACCGAACACATGCAAATCTTTTATTTCACCTTTTACTAAAAAGCAGCAATTTTTAATTAATGACACTGCTAAACTCCAAACTCAAAGATACACATTCTTTCTAGAGAGACAAGTTGTAAAAGTTACTAAAAGAGCTGCTATGTTTTTTCAAGTTCCAGAAAGAATTTTATTGAAAACTTTTTAAAAATTTCCTTCAGCTTATAGACTTGATTTGGGAATGAATTGACATCTATATACTCTTGAGTCTTTCCGCTCAGGAACTTGGTATGCATCTCCATTTAATAACATCCTCTTTTATGTCCCTTAATTTTTTTTACACAAACTTATTGTTTGTTCTTGTCAATGTTTTATTTACCTTTTTATTGAAGTATAGTTGACTTACAATATTATATTAGTTTCAGATTTACAACATAGTAATTCAATATCTTTATATATTATACTCCATTTACAAAGTAATGGCTATATTTCCCTGTATTGTATCCTTGTTGCTTGCTTATTTTATACATAGTAGTTTGCGTCTCTTAATCTCATACCCCTATCTTGCCCCTCCTTCTTCCCTCTCCCCATTGGTAGCCACTAGTTTGTTCTCTGTATCTGTGAGCCTGTTTCTGTTTTGTTATTACATTCGTTTTATTTTTTAGATTCCATATATAAGTGATAGCATACAGTATTAGTCTTTATCTGACTTATTTCACTAGGCATAATCTCTAGGTCCATCCACATTACTGCAAATGGCAGAATTTCTTTTTTTTTTTATGGTCAAGCACTATTCCATTGTGTGTGTGTGTGTGTGTGTGTGTGTGTGTGCGTGTACACATCTTCTTTATCCATACATCTTTTGATGGACATTTGGGTAGCTTCCATATCTTGGTTATTGTAAATAATGCTGCTGTGATAATTAGCATGCATGTATCTTAGTGTTTTCGTTTTCTTCAGATATCCAGCAGTGGAATTGCTGGATTATATGGTAGTTTGATTTTTAGGTTTCTGAGAAACCTCCCTACTGTTTTCCAGAGTGGCTGCACCAATTTAAAATCCCACCACTAGTGTACTAGCGTTCCCTTTTCCCCACATCCTTGCCAGCATTTGTTATTTATGGTCTTTTTGATGATAGCCATTTTGACAGGTGTGAGGTGGTATCTCATGGTTTTGATTTATATTTCTCTGATAATTAGCACTGTTGAGAATTTTTTCATGTGCCTGTTGGCCATCTGTATATCTTCTTTGGAAAAATGTCTGTTCCGGTCTTCTGCTCATTTTTTCATTGGGTTCTTTGCTTTTTTGATATTGAGTTGTATGAGCTGTTTATATTTTTTGGATATTAATCTTTTATCAATCATATCATTTGCATATATTTTCTCCCATTCAGTAGGTTGTCTTTTTGTTTAGTCAACAATTTCCTATGGTGTGCAAAAGCTTTTAAGTTTAATTAGGTCCCATTTGTTTATTTTGCTTTTATTTCTTTTGCCTTAGGAGACAGATCCAAAAAATATTGCTACAATTTATGTCAAAGGGTGTTCTGCCTATGTCCTCTTGTAGGAGTTTTATGGTTTCTAGTCTTACATTTAGGTCTTTAATCCATTTTGAGTTTATTTTTGTATATGGTGTGAGGAAATGTTCTAATCTCATTGTTTTACACGTAGCTGTCCAGTTTCTTCAGCACTATTTACTGAGGAGACTGTCTTTTTTCCATTGTATATTCCTGCCTCCTTTGTTGTAGATTGATTGACCATAAGTGTGTGGGTTTATTTCTGGAATCTCTTTTCTATTCCACTGATATATGTGTCTGTTTTTGTGCCAGTACTGTGCTGTTTTTATTACTGTAGCTTTGTAGTATGAACTGAGTCAGGGAGTGTGATACCCCCAGCTTTGTTCTTGTTTTCTTCAAGATTGCTTTGGCAATTCGGTATCTTTTGTGGTTCCACATAAATTTTAGGATTATTTGTTCTAGTTCTGTGAAAAATGTCATGGGTATTTTGATAGGGATCACATTAAATCTCTAGATTGCTTTGGGTTGTATGGACATTTTAACAACATTATTTCTTCCAATCCAAGAACACAGGATATCTTTCCATTTCTTTCTATAATTTTCAAATTCCTTCATCAATAATTTATAGTTTTCAGAGTATAGGTATTTCATTCCTTGGTTAAGTTTATTCCAAGGTATTTATTCTTTTTGATGTAATTGTAAATGGAATTATTTTCTTAATTCCTCTTTCTGAGAAATTATTAGTATACAGAAACGCAACAAATTTCTATTAATCTTGTATCCTGCAACTTTACTGAATTTGTGTGTTAGTTCTAGTGGGTTTTTGGTAGAGACTTTAGGGTTTTCTACATATGGTATCATTTCACCTGCAGATAGTGACAGTTTTAAGAATTCCTTTCCAATCTGGATGCCTTTTATTTCTTTTTCTTGTCTGATTGCCATGGCTAGGACTTCCAATACTATGTTAAATAGAAGTGGCAGGAATGGGCATCCTTTTCCTATTCCTGATTTTAGAGGGAAAGCTTTTGGCTTTTCACCATTGAGTATGATGTTAGCTGTGGGTTTGTCATAAATAGCTTTTATTATGTTGAGATATGTTCCCTGTATACCAACTTCGATGAGAGTTTTTACAATGAATGGATGTTAAATTTTGTCAAATGCTTTTTCTGTATCTGTTGAGATGATCATGTGACTTTTATCCTTCATTTTGTTAATATGGTAAATCACATTGATTTGTGATTATTGAATCATTTTATGTTTTTAAAATTTATTTTATTTACTTATTTTGGCTGTGTTGGGTCTTGGTTTCTGTGCGCGGGCTTTTTCTAGTTGCAGCGAGCGGGGGCTACTCTTCGTTGCAGTGCACCGGCCACTGCGGTGGCTTCTCTTGTTGTGGAACACAGGCTCTAGGCACATGGGCTTCAGTAGTTGTGGCACGTGGGCTCAGTAGTTGTGCCTCTCAGGCTCTAGAGCGCAGTCTCAGTAGTTGTGGCACACGGGCTTAGTTGCTCCGCGGCATGTGGGATCTTCCTGGACCAGGGCTCGAACCTGTGTCCCCTGCATTAGCAGGCAGATTCTTAACCACTGCGCCACCAGGGAAGCCTGCGATTATTGAATCATTCCTGGTTCCCTGGAATAAATACCACTGATCATTGGTGCATGATACTTTTTATAGATTATTGAGTTTGATTTGCTGATAATTGTAGAGATTTTTTTGCATCAGAGATATTGGCCTGTAATTTTCTTTTATTTTGTAGTGTCTTTATCTAGTTTTGGTATCAAGGTAATGGTGGCCTTATAGAATGAATTTGGAAGTGTTCTATCTTCTTCATTTTTGGAATAGTCTAAAAATTATAGGTATTAGTTATTCTTTATATGTTTGGTAGAGTTCATCTGTAAAGCCGTTGGATCCTGGACTTTTGTTTGCTAGTTTTTGTTGTTTTGTTTTGTTTTTGTTTGTTTGTTTGTTTTTACTGATTCAATTTTACTCCTAGTGATTAGTCTTGTCAGATTGTCTATTTCTTCCTGATTCAGTCTTGAAAGGTTGTATGTTTCTAGAAATTTGTCCATTTTTTCTAGATTGTCCAATTTGTTGGCATATAACTGTTCATAGTATTCTCATGATGTTTTGTATCTGTGTGGTATTGGTTGTTATTTCTCAT